TGGATCCCATGGGTGCTGTGCGAATTGCTTATTGAGGCACTTTGGCCTCAAATGTATGATAGTGTTGTGGTGTGAATTGAACCCACACCCAATCTGTTGAGTACCAATAATGTCCATTTCCAAAAGAACCCAACCATCTGTATCCTTTGAAATTTATGAAAAAGACTTGAGAAATGCACTCATCTTCAGAAGCAGCAGTTCATCATTTGACTGACAACATAGACTGAAATTATTTTTATCTATGTTTTAAGAGGACACATGATGGGAACCCTGTTCTGCAGCAGTAAACTGCCCTTATTCAAGAAGCTTCATTCTTTTAAATGTTGTTCATAACATGGTTCTGATACTTTTGACTGTTATGGTGATTTGAATATCATTTTTGTAAAATTAGATGCTTTTCCATTTATAGAATGTCTGCATGGAATACTCCCTCCTTGTTATAAAGTGTTCTGTGATTTTTACTTATTTGATCAATGGTACATGTGATATCTTGCAATTTCACCTCATGGTATTCAACCATCCTGAAATTTTATGGTCAAATTTGCACTTACAATTTCATTGCTCTGCAATTTGACCATAGTTTGGCAATAGATTAGGGTCAAAGTGTGAGGTACCACCTGGACTGCAAGGTATTGATTCAGTAATAATAATAGAGTATCATTCCAGAGAAATTGCAGTGAACTTCAGCTAAAATATTTCAAGGCTCAATTAAATGGCTTAGAAGATAAAACTCTGTGAGAAAGACTTCAGTTTATTTGTTCAATGCTCAGTGTATGAAATAAAAGCTACAATTTTGGGTTTCTAAACATTCAACAGGAAATTGAAACCTGTATATCCTGCACATAATTTTATTCACCAAATACCATATAATATAGGAAATTATGTTAAAACCTGAAATTTTATACATATTTACATCAATCAAATACAGTGTAATCTTCATATGAATTTCAAAAAATCTTTTGGACTGGAAATCCCAATGATTTTTTCTTTACACAAGGTGAACTAAAACTATAACTGTACTGTACTAGTGTACTGTACTTGGCTCTTCATTATACATAAAAATTCATTTTAGATGCTGTGCAGAAAAAAAGCATTTCAAGAGTGCTGGGATGATATATAATGGTTGGAATTTTTATCTTGGATCACTCAAAATTCAGGGTTTAAAATAGTGCATGTGAGAAAATATTTTAGAAAATTACATGATTAATACAGTATTTTTGAACATAAAAATATTTTTCTTGAATAGATATAGAAAGCATAGCGTGAAGAAAGGCCTTAATTTAGTGCCTCTTCTGGAGCAAAAATTAATGAGATCCGGTTTCTTTTTTTTATGATGCAGGTTTACTGTCTAATAACATTGTTGACCTGCTTTTCTCCTCTTGAGTTAAATTTTTGAGGGTGTTGAAATATGAAGAAAATCCAGATAATCAAAAATAATGCTGAATGCCTAAAAATAACCTCTGTGACTTGATTCATCTGTGTGAAAACATTTCACATGAGCCTCACTTGAATTTCTTTTACAATAAATTACCATGCCATAAGAAAATGTTTTTAAAAATCACGTGAATGAAATTTAATTTTATCTTGTACTATTTTGGGTTTCTAAACATTCAACAGGAAATTGAAACCTGTATATCCTGCACATAATTTTATTCACCAAATACCATATAATATAGGAAATTATGTTAAAACCTGAAATTTTATACATATTTACATCAAACCAATACAGTAACGTTAATCTTCATATGAATTTCAAAAAGTATTTTTGACTGGAAATCCCAATGATTTTTTCTTTGATGAAGGTGAACTAAAACTATAACTGTAGTGTACTGTACTTGGCTCTTCATTATACATAAAAATTCATTTTAGATGCTGTGCAGAAAAAAAGCATTTCAAGAGTGCTGGGATGATATATAATGGTCGGAATTTTTATCTTGGATCACTCAAAACTCAGGGTTTAAAATAGTGCATGTGAGAAAATATTTTAGAAAATTACATGATTAATACAGTATTTTTGAACGTAAAAATCTTTTTCTTGAATAGATATAGAAAGCATAGCGTGAAGAAAGGCCTTAATTTAGTGCCTCTTCTGAAGCAAAAATTAATGAGATCCGGTTTCTTTTTTTTATGATGCAGGTTTACTGTCTAATAAAATTGTTGACCTGCTTTCCTCCTCCTGAGTTACATTTTTCAGGGTGTTGAAATATGAAGAAAATCCAGATAATCAAAAATAATGCTGACTGCCTAAAAAAAACCTGTAAGACTTGATTCATCTGTGTGAAAACATTTCACATGAGCCTCACTTGAATTTCTTTTACAATAAATTACCATGCCATAAGAAAATGTTTTTAAAAATCACGTGAATGAAATTTAATTTTATCTTGTACTATTCTGTGTTTTGTTGATGGAATTTTTCTCCTCTTTCTCCCAAATTTTATGGGCAAGAATTTTGAGAATTTTGTTCACTTTTACCTTTTTTCTACCGAAATAAATTGAGGTGTAGGCTAATAATGAGGTCAAGTGCCGTGGATGCTAGCTCTGTGAGGTTTGACTGACAAAAAGGTGTGCACTTGAGGGGAAAGTTTAATGGATTGAGATCAGAGATTACTACAGGTTGGCGGGGTGCCCCGCAAATCTCTTGCTGCACTTTCATCATTTGATGAGTATATTCATGGTTTTTGCTGGTCAACAGCATATGAAATATGGAGGTTAATCTTTATAAAACAACAAAACCATAAGTGAACAGCTAGCATATGAAGAAAACTATAATCTGTATTACATATTATGTGCCTGATGCAATGCAGAAACTACATTTGACTTCCAAGATCATTAGTTATTGAACACTGAAATCTAAATTGTGTATTGCATGTGTTTTGGTATCATATACCAGATGAATGCATCACTTTCTTCAACTGAGTTTTCTAGTTTTCAGCAGGATGGAGCACAAATATGTTACATACATCAGTAATTGATATCAAAATCTCATCAGCTATGGACTTTATATTTTCTTCACATTTCAGTGTGTCATAGCAAGGCAAATAGTTATGATGATCTCTGACACCTCAACTACAGTATTCACAACCATTAAGTTTTGATTCAATCCTAAACTCAAGAGCTCAAGACAACTGAAAAGAAAATTTCATCAAAACCCATGCATGCAGTACCTTGCAATTTAATCGTAATCCATTGCCAAACTAGGGTCAAATTGCAAAGCAATCAAATTGCAAGACACTTGAGGAAATTCAAAAATATCAGTACAAAAATGCAAAAAAAAAGGGCCAAAGCAGGTCAAATTGCAGGGCAAGGGTCAAATTGCAAGTCAACCTCCCTGCAAATTTGACCATTGAATTTGTGGGAGGTCAAATTGCCACCTGTATTTTAGCTGAAAACAGCAACTACAAAATTCAAGGGACCAGAAAAATTCATTGTGGAGGGAATTTCATTGTAAAGAGTCCCTATAACATGGGGATTGAACCCTACATGGAAACAGAAAAAAACTCAGCATAAATTTTCATTTGTAGACAAGATTGTTGCAGATGAGAAGAGTCCACCTGTATTATACGTAAGTGATCAAATGGATGGGGGCACAATTGTAGTGACTCCCTACTCGAATCCCTGTCCAGCTTTTGCGTCACCGCTCTCTGGTGTAGTTACAAACACTGATTATTTTAATGGGCTGGGACTGAGTTGTCAAACCACTTCTTGGCCCAAGGATTTAATTAGAAGTTGGGTCGGCGGAAATAATTCGAATCCTCTTTTGTGGTCATATAATAAATGCCTCCCGGGACTTTTTGTACGTCATCATCGCGGAGCCAGAAAAGAATCCGTCACTTTTATTATATACTGCAGTGCTGATGATGATGACCTTTTCCGGTTCAAAAATTAATTCTTTTCATAATGACGACTGATGTGGATTATTGGCGCTTATTATAATTGATGATGAGTCATGATTATAGAAAATTAATTGATGTCCGAATCAAATGATCATGCGACACTCTCTTTTTGTTAATCGATGTAAATTGCTGGGGGTGAAGGAATAAGTTGAATATATGATGTCAGAAAATTCGTACCACATGATTATTATCACAAGTTTTAAGAAATAAATTTTGTCCACGGGATATTTTATGTGAGCTTCTAACAAAGAAGATAAAGATTAGTTTACACCTGTGCATTCCAGTCCCACGCTATCTACTGCACATAATTCTTCGAATTGTTTCTATGGATTTTATCACAGCGATTCGTGACGAATTTTATTGCTTGAGTTCAAAAGCAATAACAATTGTTGAATGTCTTTATCTTCTTTAACTATACAGCAGCATGTGCTATGCGTGTTTGAAATTCCTACTGCTGAATGTCAACTTTTGCACCATTGCAGAGATAATATTTGATTTACTACATTTTGCTTTTACAGTCAAACATGAAACTCAACACTGTGACCCACAATTTCAAGAAAAATTGAAAACTTGAATTCTTAAATGATGATATCTCTTGAAGAAGTGGGCTATATACACTCATAAAAATTTGAAATATGTTCATTGTAAATTTATTTTCATTCATAATCAAAAATAGGCTGATTTTGTGCTTTGAGTTTTTTCCATCATCATCTCACATTATATAGAGAAGGAAGGTGTTTTCTTTTTCTTTGCTTTCCATCCAGCTTCTTTTGATGCCCAAAAAAGACCAGATTCTATGCGGGTTTCTTCATTGGGACCCTTTTTTAAGTTGAAGCAAACAATTTTTATTCAATTTTTGGAGACTTATTCTCAATTTTTGATAAGCATGAGAGCCTATTCAAGGCATTTGCATTGAAGTCTATGGGAGAACAAGATCCAACATAGGGACAATAAAAGGTTCGAACGCCACTCATGTCCACATCTCAGGGTCTGAATGTACAGTACTGTATATTCAAAGAGTTGAATTACAATCAAGAATTTACATTCATTTTGTTCCAAGCACACCGAATTTGTTGCAACGTTTGAAATAACAGCAATGGTCTTGCATTCAAGAAAACATCTGGTAATCCATACATTTTCCTCCATTTCAACTCAAACAGGAAATTCAGGCTGTCGGCTGAAGCACTTCGCAGCTTGAACGAAACACATCATTGGTATACACACACAAAAATAAAAACTGAAGCACACTTCTTCAATCACCACTGAAAGAAGAAAACAGAAAACACTAAGTTCTAGTTTCAATGAGCACTAAGAAATATTCCGGTCGCAAAGTTGAGCTGAAAAGATTGGAAACACAGAAAAATGGGTATAGTTTATCTTCAGCTAATTTTTAACTGAACTTAAACTTCCCTCGAACATTAAAAACTCACAGAAAAAGCTCACACTTGCACAGATTCCTCCAACAACAGCCCATCTAAAGCAACATCAAGCAAAATTTCCGCACAATGCGAAAAGCATGCAAAAATTTTTCTCTCGTTTGAACAAACTGGCACCGATTCGAGGAGGAATAATTCAGGAAGACCAACAAATACCATCCATATTCTTCCACCAAATAAAAAAAAAAGGGTGCCACTCAACTCAAGTGCCTCCAGAAAGCCAAGAATAATTTTTCCTTCGACGGTCGGTAATCGCTTTGAATTTTTGACTCGCAAGATGAGAATCCCCATTGAAGGACATCAGCACTGTGTAGAATATCATATCTCAGGCCATGGTTTCCATCACCGTCAGATCACAAAAAACACCATCTTAGCTGCGCTTTCCGAATGATGACATAATTCAACATAACAACCGGAAACGCACAGAGAAAAAAATTAGAATTTTCTGACTCAACTAGCACTTTAAAGCACCCCCCGACACGTATATTTTTTCCTTCTTCAAAAAAACCATCATGAAAAACGTAACTGTTCCGGCATATTTTCCAATAAAATATCCCAATCGAACGCGATTTTTCCCCCAATGAACTAAGATTTCTTGGCAGTTCATTCGAATGGCTTACAAACAAAAACTCAATGAGAGAGTACATCAAGTACACGTACTGTACATTCATAAGCAAGCAGGAAACCATCAACATTTAATCCGCAAATCAATTTTTGGATAAATGCATCCTTCTCTGACAATCAGTTAATTGATCCCACAGAAAGGACGAGATCAAGCACACAATTCCACATCTTCAACACGAACGGCATTAATTTAAACCAGAGGTTCCCCACACACAGCTCAAATTAAAAAAAGATCGAAGGATTCACGACGGATCCGATATGAAATAAAATTGAATTAACGTGAAAATATTGAATCTTCTTTCCTCAAGCATGCCAAGAAATGGATGAAAGCATGTCAGAGACAAAGTAAAATTCAAATGAAATTACTTTCCCAATTTCGTTTAGGGTATGATTTTAATCTTAACCATAGTATATAAACTATTCCATGCTTCTTTCGAGAGGAAATATTATTTATGTGAACGGATTTATTTCTGGAAATGCATTAGAGTGACAAAGGAGGACAATAAATGAAAATATACAGGGTGGACCCTTTTACTCGAAAATTTCTTGAATTTCTAATGAAAAAAAAAACAATTGTATTCAGGGGTACCATAATAAAAACTGATTTCAAAAAAGGGTTGCACGAGCCAAGCATCCCGGGAACCTCTGCTTCAACCTCATGCATCTCTGACGGCAAACATGCTACACACAATATTTACCTGCTTTGAAACAAAATCTCCCAAAACTACGCATTCCAAAAAAAAAGAACATCGCGAAAAATTCGATCCAATTTTGCTGAATTATCAAAATGCCATTTCGATGGTTCTAATGTTCCACATAAACTTGAGCGAAAAGTTAAGAACAAAAAAAAGAGACAGGCATTCAAACTGCCAGGAGCTTTTCGTATCGTTTGCAAAATCTTCAATAGTTCTCATCATCCGACGTCATATTGTCGTTGCGATTGAGCATGTAGTTGTCCATGTCGATCGTTCGGCAATGATTAATGGCAAACCGGATTCGCTCAGCCAATTTTTCTTTAGAAGAATACCGCGGCAAGCGGAGTTGGAAGAAACAGGTCGAAGCTGTGGGAAACGAATCTAGAGGTCGCTCCGGTTGCAGGACAATATGGAAGTGCCTCTGGGCAGGATCAATTTCCGTCGCCGCCGGAAGCTTCGATCGTCCAGAAACAAATCTGCGATTGAAAAGGAATTTTCAAAACATGTAAAAAATTCACACATGTGCATCTACAACTGAAAAAAAAAATAATTCAGTGATAGTAGCTTCACGTAGAAATCCAATTACGCCTCTACATCTGATTAGCCAGGAAATCGCAAATACAGTATTTCATGATTCGTTAAGGGGCGACATCTGCAATATTGGCGCGTAAGTTCTCAAGCGCCAGTCTGCAATTCTCAGGAGTCGTTTTGAATGGTTGGAAATGGACGTGAATCTCAAAGATTAATTCTGTAATCGTCATTTCCTGACCTCTGTTCCAATTCGTCATCTTCCCGATAGTTGAAATTGAAAGACGAGTGAGTTAATCGACCACTTCAAAAATGGGGAATTTCCAACCATGCAATATTTCTAAAATTATACTTGAAAAATGCTTGAAAATTTCATGAAGAAATCGGCTATCTTCTTTCAAAGCAGTGCGTTTTTTCCAATCTCCGTAACCAAATTTGATGAACTTTCAATTCTCACACGCACAAAAATCCAAATTAATTAGACAAAATGTAAGAATATTGCCTGCGAATTGAAAAGTTTTTAAAATACTGCATTTTTAATTAGTGATCTTTTCCTCCAACTTTCGCTGAAGGACAGTTTTTTCAACTCGTCCATGGCAGAGGTAAGGCGCAGATAGGAAAGGAAGCAAAAAAGAAAATGAATTCAACTACAATTTGAGCCGAAAACTCAAATTCGTAGCCATTTTCAAAATATTTCAGCTTGAAGATCTGCTCAAAATTTCCTTTGGCCATCCGTCATTAACAGAGTGGGGGAAAAAATACGGCTAAGGAAAATTCTAAAAAAAAAAAAAAATTCTAGAAATTATTCGCCTAAACGCACAAGCCATCAAAATTCAAAGACAAAAATGTTTTTCCGCAACCGACCTCAACAGAAGAACGCGTTCATCATGCGTCATCGACTCCACAACATCCCAAAACCACTGAATGATCTCTGGTTCGGCGGACGCGTGCGAATGCGAAACAGCGTGCAATTCCAGGGCGTCCTCGGACAGGGACGCCCAACTCGCCAGAGTAGACATGACAAACGCGTTGTTGGCTTCACTCGGGTCCCGCCATTTCGCAATGCTGCGCAACGCAGCCGCCGACAATTCCTCTGCTCCACACACCAGTCTTCGAAAGTCCCTGTTTGGAATTCACAAATTTGTTTACCATCATTCGTAAGTGTGAAAATTTTTGGATTTAATTAACAAAGTATGGAGAGCTCAGAATTATTTCCAATTAATAATTCGGATGCCTCAAATGCTNAGTGAGTTAATCGACCAGTTCAAAAACGGGGAATTTCCAACGATGCAATATTTCTAAATTTATACTTCAAAAATTCTTGAAAATTTCATGAAGAAATCGGCTATCTTCTTTCAAAGCAGTGCGTTTTTCCCAATCTCCGTAACCAAATTTGATGAACTTTCAATTCTCACACGCACAAAAATCTAAATTAATTAGACAAAATGTAAGAATATTGCCTGCGAATTGAACAATTTTAGCGATTTAAATTCAAGTTGGGAGCATGAAAAGTTTTTAAAATACTGCATTTTTAATTAGTGACCTTTTCCTCCAACTTTCGCTGAAGGACAGTTTTTTCAACTCGTCCATGGGAGAGGTAAGGCGCAGATAGGAAAGGAAGCAAAAAAGTAAATGAATTCAACTACAATTTGAGCCGAGAATTCAAATTCGTAGCAGCTTTCAAAATATTTCAGCTTGAAGATCTGCTCAAAATTTCCTTTGGCCATCCGTCATTAACAGAGTGGGGGAAAAAATACGGCTAAGGAAAATTCTAAAAAAAAAAATTCTAGAAATTATTCGCCTAAACGCACAAGCCATCAAAATTCAAAGACAAAAATGCTTTTCCGCAACCGACCTCAACAGAAGAACGCGTTCATCATGCGTCATCGACTCCACAACGTCCCAAAACCACTGAATGATCTCTGGTTCGGCGGACGCGTGCGAATGCGAAACAGCGTGCAATTCCAGGGCGTCCTCGGACAGGGACGCCCAACTCGCCAGAGTAGACATGACAAACGCGTTGTTGGCTTCACTCGGGTCCCGCCATTTCGCAATGCTGCGCAACGCAGCCGCCGACAATTCCTCTGCTCCACACACCAGTCTTCGAAAGTCCCTGTTTGGAATTCACAAATTTGTTTACCATCATTCGTAAGTGTGAAAATTTTTGGATTTAATTAACAAAGTATGGAGAGCTCAGAATTATTTCCAATTAATAATTCGGATGCCTCAAATGCTATTGTAGTCTGGACACGATTAATTGAGAAGAGAATAATGCTGGACTCTCTTCAACGAAATCGACGTGACCGGGAAAAATTCGTTGTAGAATTTTCTCGCAAAGAAGCCATGTAACATGGGTGGAAACCACTACACACGGAACCAAAACAAAAAAAATCGCTACACATCAGGTGGACTCTCTATAACGATATTCTCTGCAAACAATTTTTTTCTAGGTCACATAGTGTTCTCTCTTCGTGCTTTCGGGATTTTCTACGACGAAATTCTCTCTACAACGAATTTTTCTATGCAGGTGGACTCTCGTTGAAAGGAAATTCAAGGGTCCAGTAAAAAATTCGTTGTAGAGAGAATTTCGTCGTAGAAAATCCCGAATTGTTCTATCGAATTGTTCTATATAGGTGGACTCTCGTTGAAAAAAAATTCAAGGGCCAGAAAAAAAATTCGCGGCAGAGAGAATTTCGTCGTAGAAAAACCCCTCAAACATGAAGAGAGATTTTTTTTCTGGACCCTTGAATTTCGTTTCTGCGAGTGTCCACCTGTACAGAGCAATTCGTTGCAAAGAGCGTGTGTACACGTATAATCTTTATTTTTTTGTTTTTTTCTTCTTTTATTTTTGAAGTGAAAACAGGAGAAAATCTGGACGTACTCAGAGGGCATGAGTCCAAGAATCGGAATCGGAACAATCACTGCGATGCCGTCCCGAACTGCTTGCACAAGTCCCTGTTTGGAATTCACAAATTTGTTTACCATCATTCGTAAGTGTGAAAATTTTTGGATTTAATTAACAAAGTATGGAGAGCTCAGAATTATTTCCAATTAATAATTCGGATGCCTCAAATGCTTTTGTAGTTTGGACACGGTTAATTTAAACAAGAATAATACAGGACTCTCTCTTCAAAGAAATTGACGTGACCGGGAAAAATTCGTCGTAGAGAGAATTTACTCGCAAAGAAGCCATGTAACATGGGTGGAAACCACTACACACGGAACCAAAACAAAACAAAAATCGCTATACAGCAGGTGGACTCTCTCTACAACGATATTCTCTGCAAACAAATTTTTTCTAGGTCACATCGTGTTCTCTCTCCGTGCTTTAGGGATTTTCTACGACGAAATTCTCTCTACAATGAATTGTTTTATAAAGGTGGACTCTCGTTTAAAGGAAATTCAAGGGTCCAGAAAAAAATTCTCTCTTCATGTTTTAGGGGTTTTCTACGACAAAATTCTTTCCACAGCGATTTTTTTTCTGGTGGACTCTCGCTGAAACGAATTTAAGGGTCCAGAAAAAAATTCTCTCTTCAGGTTTTAGGGGTTTTCTTTAACAAAATTCTCTCTACAGCGATTTTTTTCTGGACCCTTGAATTTCGTTTTTGCGAGTGTCCACCTGTACAGAGCAATTCGTTGCAAAGAGCGTGTGTACACGTATAATCTTTATTTATTTTTTGTTTTTTTCTTCTTTTATTTTTGAAGTGAAAACAGGAGAAAATCTGGACGTACTCAGAGGGCATGAGTCCAAGAATCGGAATCGGAACAATCACTGCGATGCCGTCCCGAACTGCTTGCACTTGTTGCGCCATCTCCTTGTTTCTGAAGCTCAGCGCTCTTTGGTAATAAATCAGTCGGGTGCCGTAATTCAGCGCAATTTTTTCTCCTTCTCGGGACAAAGAAATCACCTTCCTCGTCACTGTCACCTGATATTCATAGAGAAAGTTGATCAATGATTATATGATGAGCAGATTTTTCCCCATGCATTTATTCCCTACCAAAGCGAATGAAGATGCATTTGAAAAAGACTATACTTCAGCGGATGTTGTTTCATTTGAAATACCATATGCATGATCAGCAGAATATTTTTGTTTTACACATCGATGAAAAAAATTAAAATCAAGAAATTCTCAGCATGACAAAGTTTACGCGTCTTTTCAATTCATTTAGAATCTCAACATTTTCGCAACTTCCGGAAATCTTGAAGGCTGCGAATGAAAACATTAAAGAAGACTAACTTTCATAATCTTCTTCTTTCGAAATTATATGCCAATCGAAAATTTATTTCAATTGCTTAGAGGTTACGAACCTTCCTGAAAGCAATTCTGTGAAGATTCGAGGCGTTACTAATCTAGGTATAAAATCGCTCACAATCCTGCGATGGAATAGAAGGTCAACTAATAAAATGTGATCGACTTTACAGAATATTTTCCCAATTTGTTATGCACTACATCATTTGGAAAAAAACTGGAAACTCACGCCGTCGAAGTTTTCACTCGGGCAGATGTCACTGAATCCATCGTCTACATTAGTGGAGTCTCTGTTATAATAATTTCGCAGGGATCGCAGCGTTTTCATGTAAAAGAAGTCAATTCCTTCGTGATCCTCTTCAGTCGGCTCCAAACCCGCCAACAACTTCCACATGAACGGCGGGAAACGCAAATCAATTGGCTTCCTTGTCCGGATTGCTATCCCAATCAATAAGCCCAAAAACCTAGGGAAACAAACGAAACGATTTTTGAATCATACGTCAGTGGCATTTATTAAAAGTCAAGTTTCGACATTGAACGAATTCCGTTCTTGCTTGTTTCAACTGCTTATGAAATTGAATTTTCATATTATTCGTTTTTACCTGCATTATTCGGACGTTAGATTATTTTAGTTACATGCCAGGTCAGGTTAGAACCTTCTGACTTGAGTTCTCCTCAAATTTAGGCCGATCTAATACACTACAGAGATGAATTACATTTTGAGGTTGCATTTTTCCATCGACGAAATACTGTATCGCAGCCAAATTTTATGTATTTTTTTCTGTCGAATAAAACATCAAGAATTCGCCAAAAATAAAAGATCGTTTTGATCAAAAAGCATAATTTCTTTATCTGAATAAATCCACTGCGCAAAATTTCTTTGAAATTCGACATGGTCATCATTCGTAGTTTACAAGTCTCACCGGAAATGCGCCAAGTCCTGGATGGAATTGGCTTCAGGGTTGAGCAGGAACGCGTCTTGATTTTCGCCCACCTGCGATGCGTTATTCGGCGAAGGGATCAACAATGCCAAAGAGCTTTTCGTCAACTCTTCGCACATTTGAGTCATCGTCTCGTCAAACACGCCACCGGCATCGTCAGCAGCTTCGCCTTGCAATTTCACCTTCCACGCCCGAGACGGTAGGCACAACTCCGACGCCTTCTTCAACGACACTTGACTCGCAATCTTCGAAGAAAAAAATGTTTTCAGATTCCAATCTACGACTTTAAAATATTCATATGAAGTAAAAAAAAAATATCTCTCTCCTCGATAATCCAAACAATCTCTGAAAAAATGTGCAGTTGAACCCAGATAAAAAAAAATTGAACACGGTCAAGAGTACTGATGCACGATTATTCGTATGAAATTACTTTCATACAGTAAATTCTCGCGGATTACGAGACAAGAATGTATAGCCGCAAATTAGACTAGAATCGACGTTTCAATTTTTAAAATTTTCAGTGACGAAGGTCTTGCTCCAGATAATCGGAATCCAGCTCAAAATCACGAATGACGACGAAAATCGCAAAAAAAAACGCCGAATTTTCCTTTACACAACTTCGAGCAGCCTGAAAAGTTTGTCACCTCGAAACGACAGCACATCAGGATGCGGTGATTAGAATAAGTCGAAGAATTTTATTTTATTTTTCAGTTGGAGCTCTTAGAAAAATGCATCACCTGAGAAAAAACCAACATGCATTGCCACAAATTAATGCATTTGAATGGACGTTGCAATATTTAAAATTTCCAGCGAAGAAGATCGTCGTTCAGAAAATCGGAATCACGAACGACGACGAAAATAGCACATTTATTCGACAACAGGGATTTTTTCTGTATCCAATTTTGAGCAGCCTGAAAAATTCGTCACCTTGAAACGACACCTCTTCATCGGTATGCAGTGATATAAATAAGCCCACGCTTAATTTCATTCTTCAGTTGGAGCCATACTAAAAAATAATAATAATTCTCACCTGAGCAAAAACAGTCTTGGCCAGGTTGTGCCTGGGTGCCAAATCGTTGGGATTCATCCGCCTCACGGTCACAGTTGGACCATAGTTTCTGTTCCAATGCATTGTCGCTGACACGGATCTCGCCAGGATCATTCCGTGCACTTGATTACTCAACAAAGGTTGCAACAGTCCAGAAGACAAACCTATTCCTCCCAATTCCGTCTCAATGTGCAGCCTGCCCAGAGGCAACATTGGCCAGACTTTGTAGAAGAGGTGAGAAAATTGCTGCAGATGCCTGGCACGCTTATGAATTGCCGTCAATGGGATTTTACGGAGTGCATTGTACTTCCTGGGAACGATATCCGGCAGAGCTGCGGAGAAATTGAGAAAATTGGCATCAAAAATATCAATCTTCGCCTTTACTCGAGTACCACACTGACACACCTTTTTTCTCAAAATTGAGAGGAAAAAATACGGGTGCGCGTCCTAAGCGAATATAAATTTTTACCAAGTTTAAGAAGTTCAGGTATGCATTTTATTTTATTCGAAAGGGGAATTTTCGATTAATTTTAACGGGAAAACTTGCTGCATTATACATAATTGAAAATTAGTTGAATTCAGGATTACGTGTTTACTCGAGTATCACAAGCACCTCTTTCTTAAAATTAGATGGAAAAAAGGGGTGCGCGTCATCTGCGGGTATAAATTTTAAAAAGGTTTCAGAAGTTCAAGCGTGCTTTACATTTAATTCTAATGAGAAAACATCACATGATTTTCAACATAAAAACTTCTTTAATGGAATAAATTGAATATTGATGGAATTTGGAATCGATTCAGGTCTTAATTCAAATTTTGGTGTTCTCATTTTTCATGTATTGTAGCTTTAGAGACAAAAAAAAGGGGGTGCACGTCTTACTCGAGTACGGTATATACGGTAATTCATGTCTAAATTAAAATTTGGGAGTTCTTATACTGTATTTCAAATGTTGCAATTTTTGTTTCACTAAAAATGGGGTGCGCGACTTACTCGGGTACACAATTTAATAGAAAATGTTGACTGAAAAACCCAGGTGCGCGTTTCACTCGATTAGATACGGTACGTGATTCAAGATTTTTATCCAGGCATTTTCTTAATTGACAAAAGTTGCAAAGATCAAGACAATGCATCACTTCTCACCGGAAACTGGCGCCAGGGGAGACGTTGCAGACAGCAATGAAACCCTAGGATCCTTCACGAAACTCTGATCCCTCAGTAGACTCGCCGCAGGACTCATTCGCAACACGGTCGTGGCCGACGAGTGCTTTGTTCCAGCAGAGATCCTCGCGATCCTCACACCCTTGGGCAACGGGATCTCTTGCGGTACTATCGACGCCTTGGCCGCGTAATCGTCACCCAGGCCCAGCTGGCCCTCGACATCCCGGCCCCAAGAAAACAAGCGTCCACACGCAGTCAACGCTAGGGCGTGTTCAGAGCCAGACACAAGGTCCACAACGATCAAACCCTGGTCCAGGAAACAGTCCATTCGCACTGGGCCTTGAGGAGGGATCATTGGCTGGGCTGGGTGGCCCGTGAACTTTTGGTGGCCGCAAGAGTAGACAGCGCCGTCGCAGGACAGCAAAAACGTCGTCGCGATGCCACACGCGCACTTCTTCATTTTGATTCCATCCAGCCTCGACATTTCCTAATAAAGAAAAAGGTTCTTTAAATACAGGTGAACCTTGATTACTTGGCATAATGACCCCACTATAATTCAAAATTTCCAGCTGGTTAAAAAAATTAATGCCTAATTTCATCATTACCAAAATGTTCTTTTCAATTGTAGGAGACAGGTGTCGCACCTGGCACCCTAATTATTTACGTACGAAATTTGCTGTGGTCTGTGAATCACATCTATCACAGAAAATCTTGAAAGATTGATTTCACTATTACTAAAATTACTACATCAAACGCAGAAAATTGAAGTGACTCAAGTTTACAAAAACTGATCTCTCCCTCTCCATTTCAGGGAACGCAAACGTTTGCAATCGCCGATTTTCGCTAGAGCTCACCGTAGGGTTATTGCAATGACTGCCTTCCTTGGTGGGAAAACCCAGCTTGCCCATGCTTGCTTCTCCAAATGCCCAAGTTTTCCCACTTTCCTGAGAGACGCAAACCGTGTGATTCATACCACACGCCACGTAGTTAATTTTGAAGTCCTTCAACGCAGTGACGAGCTCCGGGGTTTTCGCCATACGTGTGTTTCCATTGCCCAACCGGCCGTGATCACCGCACCCAAACGTGTACAACTTCCCATGTTCGGAAACACACGCACTGTGTTTGTGTCCACAGGCAGCCTGAAAAAAAAACAGAATTCTCGACAAAACTTATCGACCTAAAAATCGGCAAACATAAAAAACAAAAAGTGTGAGAATTACCTGAATGATGCGAATACTTTTCAACTCCTCGATCATTTTCGGACGCCGGTGACGATCAGTTGTTCCATGGCCCAGTTTACCGCTTTCGCCGTCGCCCCAACTGAAAACTTCGCCCGTCGACGTTACTGCAATCGTGTGGCCATCTGCTCCGTGAGATGTCGCCAGTTGCTTCACCACGTAACCCTAATACAGTAAAATCTCGTTACAACGAATACCGTTACATACAGTACATTTTCTTTAGTTTGACAAACTTTTTCCCAAGTCCGGGCAGAAAGCATATACGGTAAATGTTAAAATCCTCTCGTTATAACAAATTTCCCCTAGAATGAAGAGATTGGTGCAATTGATGGAATTCACGGTTGAAGCCAATTTTTTTTCTTCAGACAATCACTCATTTTTTTCAACACCATAGAAAAATTTGAGAATGCCAGAAAAGCAATATCTAATCGATCATAGGTCGATATGATGCAGAATTTGTTCTAACCACTAATTTCAAAAATCTCATAAAAAATTACAGTATTCAGTATAACAAACTTTTCCTCAAGTCCCCATCAAACGCTTGCTGTAACGAAATGTAAACGATTTCATTTAGTTTACGTATCGCAAAATAAAACAATGCCATTTTTTTTATTAAAAAAAAACTAATTTCCATCGAAAAACAAGACTTAATTGATCATAGAAATTGTTCCAGTCATTAATTTCGAAAATTTCATGATGATAGATTATTCAGTAAAACAAACTATTTCTGAAGTCCCCAAAAGCTTGCTGCAACGAAATTGACACGATTTAATTTTGTTAACGCATCATAAAATAATAGAAAAACACTGCTTTATCGTGAAAATGGACAGATGCTTCGAAAAAATAAGCAGCTCACTTGCAAAGCGTGTATCAAAGTAGGCGCTCGCATGTCATCAGAGTTGCCCTGGCCCAGTCGGCCATAGTGACCCTCTCCAAAAGAGACGACTGAACCGTCTTCCCGCAGCCCGAAAGAACACTTATGACCGCAAACCACTTCCACACAACTGGCCAGGGACGTCACTGGCACGGGTTTGTGAGCGTTGGCTCTCGTCATGGTGCCCAATTGCCACGAGGAACCCGTGCCCCACATGTAAGTCACTCGATCTGACTCGTGGAACCACTTGTTCGCTTCAGCATTCATCCAATCCATCACCTCGGCGTCAGCTTCGTACGTCCAGTCCTTGGCGTTTGTTTGCGGGGCTGAGGAAGTCGAGGAGTTTCCTGATTTTCATGAGAAATGAATGCAGTGATTAGACTGAACTTTTACATGAAGCACACGAAAATCATCCGACAACGCTTCTGTTAATTTAGAAAGATTCCGAAAACATTCGCTGGAAAGTAACCAGCAAAAATATCGTAGAAGAAAGTATGGTATGTGTATGGAAGGATTTAGGATAATTCAAGGCAGGGACTATTTCAGACCAAAACAAGTTGAGGAAGAGACTACTTGATACGGTCATGTGATGTGAGCTCTACATCAGTTCTGTTCAATTTTTCAAATCTTTTCACATTTATGATCATTGTATTTAGTCTGAGAACTGAGGGATAATAATGCAATGAAAGAATATCCCATGAACATAAATAAGCGATTTTTTGGGGTTTATGAAAAAGGCTAACTGTTCTCTGCTTTCTTTCCTCTCTTGATTCATTATGAAAAATTTTATTACATACGTGATAAAGCATGTGTGACGAATTATAAGTTCTTCAGATTTTTGAAAAGGACAAGAATAGAATGAAGGTGAAGACGTAAGCGAAGTTCAAGCCTCATTTATGAAGACTTGAATTGACTCTGCCTCAAACTGGTCTTGAATTGGCCTTGCTTCAAATTGACCCAGTCTCAAATTGGCGCTGTTTCAAATTAGTCTTGTCTCGAAAGGAATCTGTCTTGAATAGGCCTTTTTTCAAACGGAACCCATCTCAAATTTATTTTGTCACAAACTGAACCAGCCTTAAATTGTCCTTGTCTCAAACTTTCTGTACCCCGTCTGAAACCACCAAGAGGCTTTCGAAAAATTATGATGGAAAGTGTGACCCAGCTGAAACGATTTATAATGTCGTTCAGCAGCTAATTACAACTACGACGCCATTTATTTCAGCAAAATGAAGCAATAAACTCTTACCAGCTTCGCTATCAAAGAACGGATCCAAATTCGAGTTCAAACGGGAGTTCAGGTACGCGGAATGCGCAGTCGTGCGCTGAGTCATACACAACGCGGCTCTGGAAACTTGGCAAAAGTCGCGAAAAAGACGCCAAAACCCACTGGGACACAGCTCCAGGCTCACGTCCGACCCATCCAATCGCAACCCAGCACCCAGGGCCATCAAAGCCTGCAAATACCCCGAATGCACCAAAGCACAGCCCCTTTCCACAGCCTCTCGCTCGTTTTCCCATTGCCTAGCCATGTAGAACGGCAACTGTTCCAGAAAGTGCGACAAGTTCGGCAACGAGTCGTCCGCAAACGCGACTCGAAAACTTTCGGAACTCAGAACGCTTTTGGCTTGATTCAACGCATTCATCGCCAAGAATTCTTCCGTTTTCAGCGAGAATTTCAGCACGCGTTTCGTCTTCGTCGCCGCGTACAGAAGTCCAGTGTCCGAAGTGAAGGTGACAGTCAAAGGACTCGATTCGTTCGGCACGTTGTGTGTGACGCAGTGTGCGACTGATCTGCAGTCGGCTACTGAAAACAAGTGCAGTTCTGCGGCTTCGTCGACAGTGTCACGAACCAGTGCGAACATGATCCGGCCATTTGGACTGACTCCGAGCGATTTGCACATTGGTAGAGGAAGCGAAATTTCCCGGACGGTGTTCAACTCGGAAAATGAGTCTTCGCATTCCGGGATAGAGTAGATCACCACCTACAAAACAAATACACAAAACATCGTTGCAAATTATTTTATATACAGGGTGTCACAACGTCACTTACACTGAAATAAATCTACAATCCATTTCATCGATTTTTCTACATCGTCCATAATAATAAAATATTGTACACTCGAACCTCTCCAAGTTGAATTTCAAGGGACCCACAAAAAATTCGACTAGCGGAGATTTTCATTTAGGGAGGTTTCGAGTTAGGGAAACAAGCCTTTTTGTAGTGGGAAATGTAAATGAATTGCAGGAAATTGTAAATGGTGCTATTCTGGGCCTCAAGTTGCTTCTCAAATGAGTTGACAGCATGCTGAACTTAGAGGCAGGGGTTCACCTGCACAATTAGTTGTCACTTCCTTTCAAAACACATTAAGTTCCTTTTTTATGGCGTTTCTGCTTCATGCGTCAAAAAATAATAGCCAAAATGCCTCGGAAAATTTGACTTACCACGCCTTTGATTTAGGAAGGCATTGTTTTTAAGGGAATTCAGACGGGAACTTGAAAAATAAGTCTTACAGAAGTTCAACTGTAATAGAGAAGGTAGTTGTCATAAGGATTCAGTGCTATGACCGTCATTCAGTTCAGAGATAAAAAAGACACTCATCAATGACAAAGTTCATTGTCGTCGCATTTTGAATACAGTAAAACTCCGTTACAACGAATCTTGTTGCAACACATTTTTTTTCTTGGTCACAGCTTACTTCTTCGCCTGAACCGAGCAGGAGAATATTGAAATTATGAGGGAAAAGAGATAAAAATAATTTAGTTAAATGAATAAGAAAATACAGTTCTTCAAAAAAAAAAAAAAAAAAACTCACACGTCCTTGTCGGCCTGTGAAACTCGCGATGGCGAAGAACAACTTGGGATAATCCAGGGTCACCCTCAAAGAGTCCAACCACACGCCACAACAATTCATTTCCGAACCCTCGATCTTCTTCATTGGCCAGTAACGAGCTTCTTTCGCAAACGATGGCCGCAGAATCACAAAGCTGTTCTCCAACACCAGCAATAGCATCGCAGCACGACTCTTTTGTGCCCAACATGCGCTCGACACCTTCAAATGAAAATTAAAAAATTGTCCGTAAAAGCCTCGAAAAAAAAAAAATGATCCCAACTTATCCCAACAATTTAAACTCTCCCGTCCTGAATTTTTCGTTTAAAACGCATGCATAAAAACTAGCCACAATCACCTGACCCATGGAGGAAGTGGACCTGTTCAAGACTCCAGCGTTGATCTCACTGCTGCACAAAACCCAACAAACATTCTTCCTCACGACTGCAATGTAAAGTTCGACAGTGCGTCGCATGATGGCCGACAGTTGGGCGGTCGACACTTCAGCCTCATCTTCAGCGAGTTCCCCTGCACTCGAAGTGGGTTCATCTGAACAAAACAAGGACTTCCCCACTGTCGGCTTTCGCAATCCACTAAAGCTATAACGATGAATCGTTTCGTCTTTGACGAGCACGAGGAGAAGATCTTGGGTCGCCAGCGAAGGGCATTCGGGTGTGGGTTCTTCTTCCATTGGATCCAACACCTGCGAAGCGAATGAAGAAATGAAGCCTGGATTCGAATTTCTACCGAAAACGTGTCGATGATGTGCCTTTTCCTTTCAGTCTCATGTAAAAAAGACGCTAAACTTTCGTAAATGCTACAGAAGCATTTTTAAATTCTTTATTTTTGTTGTTGCTTGTATTATTTTACGTTTAGGAACTTTCTGGTCTGCCTTCAACAGTGTAGAGCCTCTTACACATTGCGAAGCGATCGAAATTGGATTAATACTACCTAGAAAACCTGTATTAAATTTCAGAGACTGAAACAATTTATGTTTTCTTAGAACTAAGGAATATGGTCGAATCAAGTTCAACAGGCAAGGTTTCTTTTTTTGCGACAAAGAAAACATCAACGAAAATAAAAGATCAGGGTTTCATCAACAAACAAACCTGTTCCTGCACAGTGCGATCAGATTGACTCCAACACAGACCCAGAATCGGCTGCTTCATGTCCAAATTGATGTAGGTGTAATCGACTTCATCATGTTTGTCAACCACAACGACGTGAACGTATCCCTGAGAGCGACTGGTAAAGGCGAGCATGATCACAGAACCACGATTCCATGCCAACTCGATGTCTTGATCTCCACATTCCACAGTTTCTTCACCTTTGATCATGCAGAAAAACATACATAAGAGCCATCGAATTATTCCGTGACGACAATTTGTGGGAATCCAACGCATTATCCACACTAGGGAATCTACAGCTGGACATTGATGAATCCTAGAATTATTTCTTCCCTGGTTTCTTCACCAACCGACACGTTTGATTTAAAAAAATAAATAAATGGTTATGCTCACGTTGTTTAACTTCAGCTTATTAATGGTCATGCAAATTTTTTACGCAGAAAAAAATGAAGCTTTGCGAGTACAGTATTTGTTCACAGTGAATAAATCGAACATCTTTTATGTGAACAAATCCGTTTCACCATTTTCTCAATCGTTGAAAACAGTACAGTACAGTATACAGCAATTTTTGAATTGCTGCAAAAGAACGGCATAGAAGCAAATGTTTAATGAAGTTCGCTCAATGGTTTTGATTTAAAAAAAAAAGTTCATGGACGAAAAATATTGACATTGGTTTTCTTCTGTTTAAACGCTTCATGTCTTCAATAAGAGGCACCAAAATGTAATTACTGTATAGTAATTACCAGTCTGAATATAGGATGCTTATTCAGGCGAACTGTTAATTTAGATTAGGTTCAGGTAAGTCATAGGAGTAAAAACAGCTAGGTGAATTTTCATTACTTTAAAATATTTTGATCAGTTTTGAGGCGACACCTACCAAAACAATCGAAAAACAGGCGGGCAAAACTGCCCGAAAATATTTCCTGCTTTCAGGAGGCATCAAAATTTCAAACAGAAGCGCTTAAAACTCGAAGATAGAGCAGTGTTCAAATTAGAACATGTATTCACCCCCAGTAGTGGAAGCAGTTGAGCATTTCCCGCCCTGCATCCGAACCTTCCTCACAACCTTGGGCACATTTCCGACTCTGCAATCCCAGATCTCAATACCGCCAGAGTAGGCGACCGCCAACCAGTAGCAGTCGTCCCGCCACGCCGTCGCCACGATTTCTTTGGGCGCCGCCGGCTCTTGCGGCACCAACACCAACGGCTTGGCCGCCGAATCTTGTCCACGGCGTCCACCCGACACCAGACGAAAGCACCGGGATATTGACAACACGAGCCATTCTCGTTGGACCAGCGTCACGCCCGGGGACAGAAGGGCGGAACTCATGGCGTCCGCCAGCGTGAGAACCGCCTCGTCCTTGATGAGCGTCATCACACGCGACGGTTTGTGCATGTCCAAAACGGCGTCGATTACAAGCTAAAGAAATTGGATAAAAGCGCGGGAATTTTGAAACCGAACAGCAGTTGCAATTCTTTGTCAAACAGTTTTGAGCATTTTTGCGTCTCGAAAGTCGGTCTCAAATCTGAAAAAAAAAAACGTACCTGCAAAATGGTGAATCCACCGCGTGCGCTATTTTTGCTTTCCGTCATGAAAAGGTTTCTGATGTCGGCAGCACATGCGTGCACAGTTTTTTCCATAGTAAGAATTGATTCACTCGTAATAAGCTTCAGAACCCGCATTAAAGATTCGATGTAAGGTAGACAAGATAAAATATTTGTCCTCCGCGAATCCGAAGGACTTTTTGCGTCTTCTACCCATTTTCGAGTGAAGTTCAAGATTCTTGCCATCTAAAAAAATTCAAAAAAAAAATAAAATACGGATATAAAAAAATTAAACGCAAACACTGAGATAATTTTATCGACCAGTAAGACATCACCCTGAATGTCTTTCGCTGAAAAAAAGCGATGCTGTAAATACTATATTGGAGATCTCAGCAGTCCATTGAGCAGAAGAGAGAAATGGTTCTGAGCGAAGCTCAAAATTCGAAGACTCTTACAACCAAACAAAAAGCGAAAAACTGTTTTCTTTTATTTTTTATAGGCACAAAAAATGACGTTTTTCATAAATTCCAGCATTCAAAAAATAATTTCTGACGTTTTTTTTCAACAAAAATTTCAATCAGGTCCAGTAAAAAAGAAAATGAGCACATACCTTTGAAAAATCATTCGCCAGGCCCAAAGGCGTTAACCTGCGCATCAACTCGGACCGATCCGGAAATAAGCGATCTGCCACATAGATGGCGCGCACAATCGCAGCGCGACACGTTTGTATACGATGGGTTGTCAACGTTCGCCAGATGGCGGTCTGGTATTCCACACTGTTCTCCACCAACAGGGCTTGAAACGGAAGCGGAATCAAACACTTCGGCAGCTCCACGGAATCGTTGTTCAAAATAAAGCCTTGTTCAGGCAGCGCTTCGGTGTTGTTGGGCATTGCCCACTGGAATGGCTGCATCAATGCTGACGGAACAAAATTGCGTGGAATGACTTATTCAACACCGATTTCATTTAAAAAAAACCTGTTGAATTACCTGGGGTGCAGTCAACCCTCAATTTTGTGTCACAAAAATTTCCAGGACAAAATTATGACTCAAAATTGAGGTTTGACTGTACAGCAGATAGTTCAAAAAATGTTTTCCTTCACATCAATGTCCTCGATTTAGCGCCACAAAATGTGCCAGGACAAATGACACTAAATCAAAGGTATTGAATGAGAGGAAGTTTCATTTGAGGGTTTTAAGTGTAGGCAAAATGGGCTTGTTTGCAGTATTATTAGGTAATTGAGTCTGTTTTATGAGCAAGAAAGCACAAGAAATACTCTGAAAATCAAATGCTTGGTTTCCTTTCACTCTTTTTAAATATATTTAATACGGCAGAATATAATAATTTTTAAATATATTGTGCCTAGGACAAGAGCAAAGCTGTTTTTTGAAGTTTTGAGTGAGTCAAGAGTTTTTTTATCAGGTGCCATCATGCAGGAATCACTCCAGAAAAGCTTCCACTTCATTCATAAAATTATCATCGAAGGAAGGCGACGTGAAAAAATGAATAAATATCACAATTATCCTTCGTTTTTATGTGAATGTAGGCGCGTGATTCTCAGTAATAACCCAATGATATCTACAGGAAAAAACCTTCAACTTCATTGACTTATTAGGACCAATTTTAATTTTAAGATAAGAAATTTTTTGGCACTAAGTGGGTTGGCATTGAATCGAGATTTACCTTAAGAACACGATGGAGGGAGATTCTGCTCCAGTGATATTTACGGCACTATGCACGGGTGGCACCAGTGGTTTATTTTTGATAACATGCGTTAAATAAGCCCTTTCAGTTCCATCTTCAAAAATTTAAAATCCTTGAAATGCTTTCATGATCAAGATTTTTTCCCCCGCCCCCACCTGTTTCAGAGTAGCTAGACAAGCCAAACTTCTCCACATTTGCGCCCAACGGATCAACCTCCTCGTAATCTTGAATCATTGCGTCGTCGTCGAATCGACGTCTAGCACCTGGTTCGGTCAATGGTGAAGCAAATGTAGATTCACTTCTGCTACAAGGTGGCCCGAGGTCCGGTCGAAGTGCGAACACTCCTTGTCTGGTCCATAAAGTCCGCTCGAAAACTTCATAGCTGGACACCAAAACGTCACTGTCGCATGTGAAGGCTTCTTCGGAACGGTTACCAAACTGTGACACCTGGAGAAATACAGTGATAGAAATAAAAGTCGAATGAAAAAGATGAGACGAAACCAATTTACTATTTAAAAAAATAAATAAAAAATCTGATTCCAACAAACCTCGAGGCATCAACGAGAAATACTGCGCATCATTCGATGATGCAAACATTTTGTGGAGATACAGTCGTTGATGAAATTTTACCCCACGAGTTTTCAATGCAAAGGAGATGATTTCAAGTAAACGAAATAAAGATGGAAATTCATAGAAAATTCTTAAGGACATTTAAGGTCAACGAGAAAATAAAATCATCACGAATCAATCGTTAAAAAAGACTTGAAATGCAGAGTCGACACGTAAAAATGTAAGAAAAATCACTCTTCCGGTTAGCTTTAGTGATTCAGACGACACCTGCCTGAAGTTTAAGGAAAAAGGACCGGCGTCCAAATTACCCACATAACAAACAACTTTCAATTACTGTATTAAAAAAAACGCATATTTCAGTGTGAAACTAGGATTTACAAAAGTCATAAACTCACTGTATATTTATCAATACACGGCCGGCAATAATAAATCCGATCCCCTTGAGAAAGGCCACATTGGAACGCCCTGTTGGCCCGACACCCGGGATGTTGGACGGCGCAATGGCGTACAAAACTAGACGTTCTCACGTGGCACAACGGACAGTGTCTCGCGTTGAACACCCATTTTTCTCTCAGGATCACGGGTCGTTGTTCCGGGGGTAAATCGTTAAAATCCCGACTCATTGACGTGGGGTCTGATGGGTTCAGGTCTTCGGACGACAGGGCGACACCTTCTCCACGCACGTGTTCTCGTTCTCGAGCAGCAGTGCCGCCGGTGTTGAAGGGCTGGCGACTCACGGGTATGAAGAAAGATCGAATGTCGGGCTGGCCTCTGCTCGTGAGCAAGTTTGCTTGAACTCTTAAAAGAGAAAGAATACACTAAATGAATTGAACAAGATCCTAAAAGTTTCATGGATGAAAAAAAAAAACACAACGGCGTAATTCGCTGACGCCCGCGTAAAAAACAACAAAAAAAACACAACGGCGTAATTCGCTGACGCCCGCGTAAAAAACAACTGTACAGTATTTGACAATTCGTACTGGATTTATTTTCAAATCATCGATGATGTGACTTTTCATAAACTAAATCGAAGGATGAAAACACAATGATTTTCTCTCGATTCAACTCAGTCAGAATTGTTACTAAATTTTCATTATCCTCTTTTGACTGTCGTCTTCAATTAATATTTTCTAAAAAAAAAATAAAGTTGAATATACGTACAAAAATAATTTTATGCTTGGGTCATCGCAAAAATATAATTCCTTGGAGCTGATTAAATATTTCAAGTGCTTCTTAGAAATAAATATTACAACGCTCCATATTTTTATTGTTAGCAAAAGAAATAGAATAATTTCACACGCTCAATCCATAATACCGTATTCTATCACTTCGGGTGAACTCCGAACAATAGTTATTTTCCATTTTTCTGGCACATTTCAACAAAATAAACTTTATATTGCTCAATTTTTTAATGACGACCATGCAGAGTTTTTTTTCGCATAGTTTTACAAATATTTATCTCAAAACTCCCCACAGGCACTTCGCACATAAAAAAAAAAAAAAAACGACAGCAAACTTCAAACTCACAGTTCTCGATCATCAGGCAAGTCAATCGCAGCAGCACCGATGTTTGGACCTCCGTCATTCAGGAACACTGACCTCGTGAACAAGCTCGAAGACAAATTTCTTGGCCTCTGAAATAATTTAGTTCAGTCATAATTAATCGTTTTGAAGTTGATTATTTGTGAAGTGATCCCCCGAAAAATGAATTGTTCGCAAAATTGATTTTTCTTGAAGAACACCTCGGCTGCCGTTTCTCTAAGCTTCGAATACTAATCCCTTCTCCAGGAATTAAACGTCAGCACGCAGTAATTAAAAAAATACAAATAAATTCTTTATGGGCTTACGATTCTGAGCGCTTTTCCCTTGTTCAACGCCCTTCAAATCTTCCAATTATTTTTGAAAGCAGATGAGGGAAATTTACAAGGGTTCAGGAACGGATTAGTCGCATTACTCAGTTCAGGGATTGTTAGCAGTCATAGAAGATCTGCAACCAGGAAGTAACTTGTTTCTCATGACTCGAATAATTGACTACGGATAATGCACTTCCCAGGTTGAACACATCACACGACTCGAGTCATCCCCGTAATTCTCGTTTCGCCCTCAAACAATCATGAATAATAAAAGTATTGGCGAAGGAAGAGATTTTCAAAAAAATCTTTCCTTTCTTAGCAGAAAGCTTCTGAACAAGGAAAAGATAAAAATTCAATGGACTCACGGTGGGATCAATGCGTCGTCGTACACAGGCTTGCGAGGGATGTCGCTGTCGTACGCGAACGCGAACATTTGGCGGCGATGCCGACGATTGTTCCGATTCCGATTCCCATTCTGCCAAATTCACCGTCGCAGGAAGAACGGGTTCTCCAAGACTCATGTATTCGTACAAAAAATCAGAGCTTCTCATCGGTTCCCTCATTGAAGTCGGATCTGGCTCTTCCCTCCCACCAACTGCAATATCCTCTTCTCCCACTAGAAAAAAAAAATTATAATAATGAATATTATCCACATACTATTCATGATGAAGTATTTGTTCATACGACAAACTTAATCCGAAGTCGGCTTGATATGATTTTGAGGCCATAATGAGAAGAAGATCTTTGATGAACCGAACAAAAGCCAGTCTGAAAGCGTACGCTTGGACTTCGTAGATAAAATTAGAACTTAAGCGTTTAAGAGACAGGCAAAACGTCTTGCGCCTGAAAATACGTTTTCCAACTAATCAATATTAGTTACGACGTTATTTTCCTTAAAATTGAAAAGGATTTTTTAAACCAACGACGAACCGGAAAATCACGAAACTGCATAGATCCCTATTTAAGATACCCAATCAACCATCTTCAACCAAGACTGAAGGAGCTAAAAAATTGCGGTGACCCAAAATCAGGCTTTCAACATATTCTTCAATTGAATTTCCTCCATCAGGGCAAGAAAACAAATTTTAAGCAAGCGCACATCTTTCAACGATTTGATTTCAAATCTTTGCTTGAGCTTGTACACTATAGTAAAAGTAAACTCTCTCCACAAAGATTTTGTCCACAACAATTCTCTCTGCATAATTATTATTTTTTTTTTTGCATAGGGTTCTCTATATCCATACTACAGAGGTTTTATAAAATGAATTTCTTATGGTTACCTGGATTTCAAAATTGTTTAGGTTCCATAGGAGGTCTCTACTCATATTATCGAGGTTCTTCACAAAAATTTCCCTTTCAGCTCCCTTGAATTTCGTTGCAGAGAGGGTCCACCCTATACTTGAATTTTATCCAATTAGCCGAATAACTACGTCAATAATTTTCCACATCACCACCATTTAACAAGACAATTAAATAACATACAGCTCGAGGAAGTTTCCAAGCGAGCAGCGATTTCGGGACGCCACACGAGATCTCTCCAGCGTGGCTGACACGCAGGTCCTTCATCGCCGCCGGAAACAGGCGCCGCGGCTAGACCGATCCGGTGACTCAGCAACACCGTGAAAACGCGGTCTAGTTCGGTAGGCGCCACTGGATACGGCATCGGCAACGACACGTCGCACCATTGCGCCATGTCGGTCAACAAAGCCTTGAATTTTTCTGTCCCATGCAGCTCGATACCACGCTGCATCGCCGCCTCTGACAATTTATCTTCCCTATTTCAAAGAGGAAATAAACCATTCAAAAAAGAGTTTAAAAAAGGCTGCATAAATGGTTTTTATTTTCAAAAAAAATTCGTCATTTTCTAAAATTTCTATATTTATTCCTCGATACACAGGGACTGATTGATTTGCAACAATTGATCGAATAAGCTTTTGTCAGATTTCCTGACTCTTTCTGCTCTTACAAAAATGTCGCCAAAGTGTTGTCACATTTTTCTCTCATTCAATTCATGTTTGGTAAAGGAGCTTTGCTGGATTAATTTAAGGTATTCAAATTCCATCCAGTTAAATCTTTTGTTTGACCAGCTTGATGCTTCAGGGGGTAATTCGTCCAACATTCCAGAAAGCAAGTTTAGAGATTGACGCGCCCCGTTTAACCCCGTTTAAACGCGCAAAAGGCTTTGCTGATAGTTCTGCTTCAGCGTACAAAATTGAGGAAAAAGTTGAAAAAATCCTGCTCCATCGAAACTTTATCAAGTTGAAAGTTCGAATTATTTTAATCAAAGAATTTTGCCGAACCAGCGAAGATAATAGAAAAAAACGCAAATCAATTCCAATGTCATGCGACAAAAACATGCGAAAGATACAATGAGTAAACAGAAGCTTGAGATTCCGAAAGCAAAATTTAATTTTGACAATCAGTGGCATTGATCTTGAATTTCTCTTCGAAATTCGTTTTACTTGAAGGGGAAATGATTGAACACTTACTCTCCAATGTGACAGATTCCGTCTCCCATCACCAAATCGTGAGAGAGCAAAATAGTGCTGAATGTCTTCATTGCAGACAGCTGCAAAAAACCCAGCCGAGCGTTGTACAACAATGCTTTCGCCATTTCAGGAGATACTTTTCGATCCGGATCTGCCTTCGGGGCTCGTGTCTGCCTCCCAGCTGCTTCTGACGCTGGTTCAACAAATAAATAAAAATTTTACACAATCAAAAAAAGGAATAGAACGGATTATACAATTCCCCAAGCAGGCGGTTGGCAAAATTGTATCTAACCTGCCCACTTCAAATTTTTTTCTAATCATAAACCCGAAAACTGGTTGATTCTTTTTCAAGTAACGCCCAGACTCGTCTTTCCTCACATATTGACCAAAATTAACTTTAATTAACCCTCCAAAAACAAACCCCGTTTAATCTGAGCAACACTTGAAATTACTCGAAAAAAAAATCGTCAAAATTCAGGCGACATCTAAACGTGAGTGAGAAAAACTGCGGTCAGAGATTCCAGTTTCAAAAAACCACATAAAAGTTTAACCTCTTCGTCTAACTCTAAGGGACCAGCAAAAAAATTCGGCTTAGGGAGGTTTTGAGTCAGGGAAACGGCTAATTTTTGCAGGATATAAAAAGAAGAATTACAGGAAATTTTACAATGTGATCTTTTGGGTATTGAAAATAATGATTAAAAAATTCCTCTTCGTTTATAGAAAAAAAAAGGAGCTGAAGTGTTAAAAATCCCACTCACTGCCTGGAGCATCTCCTTCGACACCACTTCCAGTCACAGCACCTATTATCGAACTCGCCAATCGCTCTGAAAGCACGTCCAGACCGATACTTTCCCACGGAGGTCGGGATTCCACAGGCGTCTTTTCCAGGGACGGTGGATTTGATGGAAAGGCCACAGACGACCGCCGACTGGCGCCGATTTCCACAGGGATCATAAGGTCTCCAGTTAGGGGTCTGTTTTGCGCATCACTTACTTAGTGAAGGAGGCTGTACAAGAGGGTGTTTGTGGCGTTTTAAGGTGGACGCTGAAACCCTACGTTGGATACGCTGCCTTCCAACAGGTCCCAAGGAACTTAATTTTCCAGTTCTTCTGGACGAACGTTCCTGAGAGAATCAGTAAAAAAATTCAACATTATAAAGGTTTTTTCCAAAATTTATGAAGGATGTTCACGAACAGCTTTTTATGAGAGGTACTGGAGTTTCTTTTTTTTTTTATAAGATTTTTTCGATTATTCACGAGCAGTTGTATCTAAATCATTAAAACTTCAAATGTCTAAAGTAGGTTTAAAGCAGCACACGGAATAGCAACTTTTTACTACCTTTATGTCCGCCTGAGAGGGATTTAAGCATATTACTAGAAAAAAGTCCCATGGGCATAGGGATTCTCCAAGACAACATTCCCTAGAAAATGAATTTTTTCTGGTCCCTCGAATTTCTTTGCAGAGAGAGTCCATCTGTACATAAATTCGATGAAGAAGACTCGGGATTATCTTTATTCGTTTAGAAAAATCTGGTTTCATGAACAAAATCTCTCTTCTTTCAAAACTACATCAGGTGATGTTACTCCATTTTCGTGCATTTAAAATCAAATTCAAAGATCTCAAATGGGATAAGTAGAGAGTTGAAATAATGAGTGCCTCGAAATCGGGTAGAGGTTTTTTAATTTTGAAATTTGAAGAACCCACGCCGAATTTTATGCACTGGCGACGTCTGCGAAAACTACGGACACTACTTTTCGGTCATCCTGATGAAATTACAAGAACCAGCCGACTTCAAATCTCAAATAAAACGTGACCTATGAGTTAACCAGAAAAGATGAAAGCTTTAAAAAAGTGCTTGTATCCATATTTTTCCAGAATGGGGTTCACTTTTAAAGGCTAATTGCGACAAAGATTTTATTAAGACTTATCTTCTTCGTTTAGGTCATATTTTCCAGAAAAAAAAAACGTTCCTTTTCGAGACACTCAATCAAAAACTCTTAAAAAAAGTACCACACAACTCACACGTAGTCATTTGATTTTCCATTCTCATGCTCGGCTTTGCGCCATTGAATGTAAGCACCATCGCCGAATCCAACACGGACAGTGTGTTTTCGGCTCCAAATCGGAATGGCAGTTTTTGATACTTTCGATATTTTGAAAGTTAGGGCAGAATGACGACTGCCGCTCAAAACTACACCTTTCCTATTGGACCCTGGGTGATAAACTTCGCAAGAAATCCATAGCTCCAAATCGGAATGGCAGTTTTTGATACTTTCGATATTTTGAAAGTTAGGGCAGAATGACGACTGCCGCTCAAAACTACACCTTTCCTATTGGACCCTGGGTGATAAACTTCGCAAGAAATCCATAATCCAGAATCGATTCCTCCAATCACTGCCATTGCTGGCCAAATCTGAAAACAAAAATGCATGACATACGCTTTTTCATCGACGAAAAAAAAAAGTTATGAAGGGGGACTAACTTTCATGCAAAGTTCGGAGACGATTTCCATTTCTTCCTCGCTCTTCTTTTCTATCCCGGGGCTGCCTAAACTGAGATCCAAATTGAGAATACCTTGTCGGTCGTTTGAATCGACAGAGGAATCCGAAGATGCACCCAAGTCACTCAACACAGAGCGATTCATTTCCGTTTCCTCTAGATGCTTCGTTTTGTTGCTCGCGTTGCGAAGGTCATTGACAAGAGGCGGGAGGTTCTCCAGAGTTTCTATCACGCATTCGTTTACCTACGAGAAAATATTAATTGTAAGAAAATCTGACGACTCAATTGACACTAATTTATTGCTGCGATCGAAAATGTATCTACGTTCTTCAGCCCAAATACGAAGGTTGTCTCGTTCGGACGTGATCTCACCTCTGAAACGTTTAGAGAATGTGGGATTGTTAACAACTACAAAATGTGACATATCCCATGATTTTCTAAGGTTCTGGGATTTTTCTTCTTCGCAAAGGTTTCAATTTAATGCATGAGTTACAGCCGGAGTTCTCCACCAATGTCACAGGATGCAGAAATTTGTCAGACCAGCAAAATTATTGCATTTTCTTTACCCATTATATTTTCTACATTTTAAATATTAGCCTGGAAAAAAATTTTAGGCCAGCAAAATATTCGATTTTTTTATTTTATCCATTATATTTTCTGCATTTCAATATTAGGCTGACAAATTTTTAGCCTCCAGTGATATGAGTGGAGAACTGGCAGTAACTGGGAAGTTTTCATTCATCATCAAGCAGTAAAATGGAGAACTTTTTAAAACATACCAAAATAATCCCAGAACATCATGAGCTATGCCACGCTTTTTTTTTTTTTTTTACCATCACAGCTCAACTAAAAATAGCAGAGGTCCAACTCGGACAACCCTCGTATGAAAACATTGCTTCACTTCCGGTTTACTCACAATGTCATACCATGAACCTAGTTCCCACAGCAGGCGTATGAGCGAAATAATCGGCTGAGTTATAGCCACTGGATACGGAGCATGAACCGGGGGTTCAATAACGTACTCCGCAGCATTGGTCCTCACAGTGAAGTTCAACAATTTCACCTGCAACAAAAAAACCCAGGAGTTGATAAAAGTTCTGCTTATTTTTCCCCATTTAAAATTTTTTCAGTAGTACCTTTTCACTTGCGACGGGCTTCTCAGATTTGTTGCAGTGCGGGAAGAAAACGCAGGGCGTCAAACCTTCCCTGGCCGGCAAGTCGTCAAACACTAAAATCGGCTGACTTCCGTTTATCGACACTGACAAACACCGGGAATCGACATCCAACGTCATCTCGACCACGTCGCCACGGGTAAATGTCACACGTGGCAACACGACAGCGTCGAGCCAGTTGACAGCCCGAGCCGAACCCCGAGGATCCCACGATTTCCCATTGAAAAGCCAAACGTCGTCGTTTCCAATGGCACCAAGGTCTTTCAAGTGCGATCGACAAACGCCGAAAAAGAAGCCATCCGTGCTGCCGACGTCTTTCATGACTTTCATCGTCCACGAGCAACGACCTGTGAAGCATTTGGAGTTGAAAATCGAGTTTGATGAGTGGTTCATGAATTTCATCAACGGAGTTTCTGGGAAAATTTATGTGGGCCCAACATTGTATTACATACGCGTACAAATGCGTTTCCCAGGATCTTCATTTCAGGCTTATTCCATCTTCCTTTACAATCAAAAATCAATTGACTCTGCGACCTGTAATATCTTTTTCCAGTAATTTATTTAAAATTTTCTGGAGAGCTCGAGCGGCTTCTGAGAACTTTCAATCTTCAATAAGATTGATTCTGAAAAATTAGCACAGCTTCGGCCTACATTTCAAGTAAATGCAAAAAAATACCCAAAATTGTATCCCCAAAGCTCATGTTCGACCCATGCTGCTCAACTTTGTTTCTTCTGTCCAGGGGCCACATTGCACAGTTGAAGTCCTCGCGGGCGAAAATAGACAATAATTTTTGAGGTTGCATATAAAACGTTTCAAACTCAATTCATTGCTATGAATTTAATCACAAACAAATCCATGTAAAATTTTGGAAGGGTAGAGCAACATTTTGAATTTTTACATTCGTCTTCGAGTGTGTACATTACTTCGAATAATGGGGGCTTTTCATTTTGAAAATTAATGGGAAGGGACCGCGGGATTGATGAGATGTCTCTATATGGGCCATATCTGGCCCGTGGGTCATCTTTTGGGCAGCTTTGTGTTAGAGCAGAGCCGCTCAAATCAGATGTGCCCAAGAGCCACATTATCGCATTTTTCTTGGCCAAGAGTCAACTCTCATAGGTTGACAGTCCTCGAAGGCCACAACAGACAATACGTGAAATTTGTTCATGGTAAATTTATTTTTTAAAAGGCTCGAAATATATCACGTTTCAGGGAAAAATTTCAAATTGTATTCAGTTCTATGCATTATAGAATTAAACGCATACAGCATTTTAGAATGTTTGCAGTGTGGAGCACGATTTCGACATTATAAAATTTATCTTTCGATGTAATCTGCTAAAGCCACCTTGAGAATTGTGAAGAAAGGACCGCGGGACAGATGAAGAACCTCCGCGGGTCAGATCTGGCCTCGTCGACCACATGTTGGGCAGCACTGTTGAAACACATATTCAATTAGGTGCCTCACTTACCAGCAATGATGACACAGTTCAACAGAGCAAATCCAGGCTCAGTCAGCCCGTGATGCACCAATTTCCCGCGATCATAAAAGGTACATCCAGAGCTCCGTGCCTCCGACCACACAATCCCGTCCAGATCAAGAGAAGACTCGTGGTCTGCCGATTCCTGCTGCTGCTTCGCATTCAATGTAGCCTGCGATTCGTGATCAATCACCCACATATTGACTCCCAGGACACGCAGCAACTCCTGGATAGTCGACACACGGACGTCTCTTTCCAGATTGCTCCAGGCCAAGATTTTCCTGAGCAAAGCCACGGCGAGCAAACGGGTACGGAGTGAGTTGCTACACGGTTCGACGAGTCCGTGGCGAGGAAAGGAAGATCGCTTCGAGTCAGCGACATCTAGGAGTCTGATGAGCACTTTAACCCAAGCTGATGAGAGGAGACAATTGACGAAACTTTGATGACGCGACGCCAGGAACCTTAAAAAAAACACACAAAAACCACGATGATCAGTTAAGAGTCAATTAAAAATTTAAATTCAAAACCTCCGAATGGGCTCCATGAACAGACATTGTTTTTTACAGAACCCCGGGAATCACTCGTACTTTGTGCGTTACGCGTTCTTAATTTTAGTGTAGATATCACTTCACTGAACATACGGGCTATCTCTAAAACTACATTACTGTAATCTGTTCTCAAGTGAACGAAAAATAGTCGTGAAGAAAATTTGGAGGAGGAAAATGCGCTTCAACATCATGATATTTTGCATCAAATATTCATTCATACACAGACGAACCTCTTCAAGCCAAACTTCAAAGCACCAGAAAAAAATTACTCAGGGTGGTTTAGATTTAGAGAAACACGCTTTTTTTGGAAAAAAAAAAATTACAGGAAAATGTAATTGGCAATATTCTGGACCTTAACTTGCTTTTTGAATGACGATAGAATTCTGAAATTGGACGCAAGAGTTTATTCGCCCAATGAGTTCATCACTTCCTTTCAAAACACATCAAGTCACGTACATTGGTATTTCTTTTCTCTTATCTGAGTCAATAATATAATAGCCAAAAGGCCTCCAGAATGGAGGTTCGAAGGGGAAAGCCTTCAAGTTAGGAAGCATCAACATCAGTCAGCCCAGCTAAAAGAGGTCGTCTAGTCTTTCCTACATTCTTTTCATGAAAACCCACCTCACAAAAAGCAAGACATCCCCCAGCATTCTATCCCTCATGGCCCTCAATGGCGTCTTCCCGCCATTCGTGACTTCATGACCGACACTCGTCTCCAGAAATTCCAAAAACACGTTCATCACACGCTGGAACAGGTCCATGTCGCCAGAAGAATTACTCAACAGCGTGGCAAAGGATAGAAACAAATTACTAAGGGCCTGAGCCATTACGTGTCCCGGCATCTCAGAAGACCGCATGTGATCGGCCATGATCCGCATTGGCTGGAAGTCTATAGCTGAACACAACGCGTAGCTACGTGGAACATCGTCGTAGCTCTTGGACAAGAAAGTTTCCAAGAAATTTATTTTCTTTGAAGAGCTGAGCTTTTCAATGTACTGAGAATCGGCTCCGATTTTCGACAGCAGACACGACACCGCAATGATCGACAATCTCGAGGAACCTGAAGAAAAAAAAAGAAAAGAACAGCGTTTCATTAAAAATGAGCGACAACCGCCATCAACTTACGATGAATCAAAACTACCATATCAACGCAAGAAGACGAACTGCTTTCCAGATTTTGAAAATACTACGAAGTTTCACAAAAATTGAAAAATAGGATTCGTCCATTCGATACATTTACTTTATTTCCTGTATTTACTCAATTACCATGCGCGCCCTTTTCTCGAAATTGAGAGGGGAAAAATTGGGGAGCGCGTCATAAATGGGGATAATATTTTTTTTTAATGTTAGAAGTATGGGTGAGCTTGATATACTGTACTGGGAAATTTTTGACAGGAACTTTTCATATTAAAAAATTCAAAATTAAATGAACTCACATCAAAATTTGAATTATGTTAACTCTCATTTTTCTAATATTGCAGTGTTTATTTAATGAAAAAAGGGGCTTGTCTCAACAGGAAATAAAACTTACGCAAAATTATAGGATAAAAAAATTGGGGTGCATGTCTTAATCGAAGGCGCGTGGTACTCGATTAAATACAGTTTTTATTTGTTCGCACTAACCAACGCGAGTGAATGAATTCATCAGATGATATTTCATTTCGGCCAGGGGAAAAATGCAAAAATCAACATTTGACAAACGTCTAACCAACGAAAAACCGCAGATTTATTTATTTTTTGAGACTAAACTCGTCAGCTGGTTATTTTTACTCACCATGAAGAACTTTCGACATCAACACGTTGTACAGCTCCATGATGTGAAGCATCAACACTTCACTCAACTCAGGTGGAACCCCTTCAGTCCCTGTCCTCATTCCCAACTTGGCCGATTCTGTCGAAGCTCTCATGTCGCAAAACGGCAACTCAATATCTTCCATCATCAACGTCGGCCTCGTCTCTTTGGAAAATGGAGTCAGTCCACAAAATCCGTACAACAATTGCTCCAGAGCGGCGCTATGAAGAGACGGAGAACGCAATGCACCAGGATTCGTTGCTCCTGTCGACCCAATCGGCTCATCAATTGGTCCCAAAAGATTCAGCGAAGACTTGAGAGCTGCAACACGGTGAGCAAAGAGACTCAGATGCCTCTGACGATCTACAAAGAGTGCGATGGCGAATTTGATGTGCTCGTTTGATCCAGAAGCTGTGTAGGACGAGGTGTAAGAGATGTGCGGGCAGGGGTTTATCACGTTTTTCACGCAGTACTGCAGGATCTTCCATCCATGATCAAGCCTGAAACGATTAGCGACAGAAACTTGTCTAAATAAGCAGCGAAGTACCACCCTTGCCTCTGTTTTGAACTCATATTTTTCTCATGCAGATCATTCCGAAATCCTCGTGCTTTTATTCATCTGAACCCTCTGTGTCCCCGGATCTGCGAGTCACGTTAGTCTTATAATGTATCAGTTCTTTAGTAGGACTTGATTCGTTTAACCAAGGGTAGGCTCGTCGGAAGAATTACACACCAGCGACATCTACGAGCGACCTCGGTGTTTCATCAGGTTATTTTCAGTATCGCTGTAATCCTAGCAAAAATCCACTGGAAGATTAGTTCCGTTTTCTTCTCGGAGATGTCACTCGTACATGAAAGTTCCTGAATCACGTAATAATCCTTCACCAGACTGGTCAGAAGCTGTAAATAATTTACTGTATTTTCATGTCTAAATGCAGCTCTGGAGGGGATTAAATAACGTCGTTCTAATTTCTTTGAACGAATATTTGACCATTAGCACACAGTTCAAGGAAATTGAACCGAAGTGAAAATTGAATGGTCATCTCAGCTCTCATCGCCATCCCTCTCTCAGCAACAAAAAGGTAATCTTTAATTATCAGTTTCACCCGTATTCTACCTCCGATAAAACATGCACTGATGTAATCCGATAATAGGAGGAATATCGCGATTAGAAATCCAATTCTACGGAAACTCCAGATTTCCTGAAAGTATGACACATATTGTTCAACAAATTTTACCTTCCGTGGAAATAATCATTTCTTCAAACTGGCTGAGTCGATGGACATAATAAAAATGTTAAATGCGTTCTACTTTAGAATTTCGTCTATTAAAGGTTTCCAGACAATACTCGACAAGCAAAATTCACCTTTGGGCTTCGATCCACGCTTCGTCAGCACCTTCATTCCCCACACCGTAATCCGGAGGACTAATGCGAGATACCCCACACAGGAAGAACACGGCCTGACACAAAATCCCTTGACACACCAAGTCAATCAAATTGTTAGATTCCCATTTGTCAGCCGTAAGCATTCTGGCATCACCGAACAGGTAATTCACGCAACGCACGTGGCACTCTTCCGCCACTTTCGTTTTGCAGGGGCACGAAAATTTCACTGCAAGAATGTTTGGAATAAGGCATATTACGTAGAAGAAATTCTGGGAACGATTATAAAATAAATCTCTTCATACCTGAGTTAGACAGACGTCTCAGGTCACTTGCGGCTCTACAAATCAGCGACGGCATCGTTTTGTAAGTTTGTTCGTGAATCTTGCGTCGCTCTCTGTTTTAGGAAAATAAATATTTGTTCGTGCAATTGAATCATTCAGCAACTTTAAGTCAACAAATACACTTGCTCCACAAATATACGATAAAATGCCGTCAAAAAAGCGTTATTTGGACAGGAAATGGATAAAATTCAAAATTTATCACACCTGAAACTGCATGAACCTTGAAAAATCCGTTCAAAATTAAATCCATTTTATCAAAGTTTGTCTTCACGACGATGTAAAAAACACGTTCGCGCCAAACTTCATCGTCTCACTTGCTTTCTTGGCGAAGGAAAAAACCCTAATTTATTTTACATCCACTTTTGTAGCATTTTCACTTCATTTCATTAAACCTATTAATTACCAGATATTTTTTTCTTAAAAGTCTACTCACGTTTCAGTAAAAGTGGCAAACTTATGGAATACCAAGTAGAGGGCATGAAGGGCTAATCTTCTCCAAGAATTATTATCCGTTTCCTCTTCGCCCTGGAAGTTGACTACTTCGTCCAGTCTCCCAAACACTTTCCCTTCTTCATCTTTAATTAAAGCGAGGAGAGTATCTTTGTTTTCCCAAAAATCCTCCCGAAGGGAGCTTTCCTCAATTTCGGCATAATTCAATTCATTCCCAGTTGCGTTCATCACGTCTTGCACGACGGAGACAACACCTTGAAAAACGTTCAGTGGACTGCAACTCAGTGCAAGGGATTTCGAAATAAGCCAGGGAAGAGACCAGTCCGTTTGCTTCGAAAACAGAACCACTTGTTTACCCAGGCTGCAGCAATCCTCAGAGTAAACAGGCTGTAAAAAGCAAAGGATAAATTAGTGAAACATGGATTAAACCAGTGTTCGCCAACCCATGGTCCGCGTTTTTACGGGTCTGCGGGAAATGTTCCTTCACCACGATAAATTTATCAAAAGAAGCAATGAAGACTTATCTTTTTTGAAATTTTAGAAAGGCAATTGGCAGTTGAAATTATTTGATGAAAAATACTGCTGTAGTTGGTTTTTCCTCCCAATAACGCTTCAACCAAATTTTCACCTGCTGAAATACATTTTAACTTTTTCATTCTTCAGAAACCTTTCTACAAGCCCACCATTCTAATTTTTTAAAAGACATTTCACTAAAGCAGCTTCATTGATTTTTAACTCAATTTTTGCAAAATAAACATACACTTTTTGAATACTTGGCATAAAGTCTGGAAAACAAACATTTTTTTGAGGCTGCAAAAATTTATGAAACTTTGCCATTCGGCAGAAAATGTTTTGGAAATTTGCCAACCATGTTAAAATTTTGCAGAAATTTGCTGGTCCGCAGGGCCTAAAAAAGATGGGGAACACTGGATTAAACTATATCTGCAGCCAAAAGATGATTTCCCATTATTACAGTACTTCCATCAAACAATAATTACGAGATGGTCAAAAATTTACCATTTGAAATCGCATGCACGCGACTTAAGGCCGTTTGCGAGTATTTTTTCTTCACGATCGCCAAAATTTACGAAAAAACACATCTGCAGTACAATCAAGGATTTACAAAAGCTTTTAGCTTCTTTGGCCGTCAATTTTAGCATCATCAACGTCTACTCACATAAACTGCAGTGAGGTCCTCATGAGCAACACGACCTGCCAAAAGGCTACACGCTGCCAAAGCTTCCGTCAACCAGTTCCAATTTTCTCGGCCCAACTTCACTTTCAATTCATTCAATCCACTCGTTAACAGGGTGAATAAAGGCGTCATTCCGTGCAGCAAAGAAGTGGGAAGCAGGAGACAGTGATCAATCGCAATCGTAGTCACTTGACCAAGCAAAGTCCTCCTCAGTACATCTGAAAATTGAAACATGAGATTGGAGAGGAAATATATGAATTTGAAAAACTATATTCGGACGAATGCACTGAAAATGAAAAATTTCCGTAACACGTTTTCTCAGAGGGATTGAATACTGTGAAGTGTACGTGCAGAAAGTTAAATTTAAACAAATACTGTATCAAATTTAAGCACAGGATCTGTTTTATTTTTTGCTCCACAAATTAACTAAAGCTTGGCCTTGCACTTGAATATTAAAAATGAATGAAATAATTTGGAGGCAACAAGGTTTGATGCGAAAAATTTATAAAATCATGAAATAACAATTAGCAACGAACCTTCAATTGCATTCCGTTGATCTTGGCCTTCGTCAAGCTCCAAGCAACACATTGCAGACTCGATTATCCGATGCGATGTAAAAATCAGCTGACTAAGTAGCTTGTTGAACACTCGTTCTTTATTCACACAGGAACGACAAAAGGCCTGAAGAAAAAAAAAAGTGGCAATTCAGAAAAGTGAAGTACGGTACTATGGTAAAATGTCATGCTGAGTTACCCAGCTAGAACAGCAAGATACTGGACTTTCAGCGAGGGTCCATAATCCATTAAATGTTGATCTTCCCTTGCTGAAATAACCCAAACTCTGAGAGAAGAATGATTTCAGCAGTTCGAGCAGACCATGGAGAAGTGATTGTTCTGATGATCTCGTAGATTGCTGTAGTTTTTGAACACCTTGCAACTCGGAGATCTGTGAGGTAAAATGTTAATAATTTATAAATAAAATTTGAAACAGTTCGAGAAAATAAATTCACCGTTTCCTGGAAAACCTTGGCAAATGCCATGTTCAAAAAGTCCAAGACTGTTGGAACATCCGCTTTTTTCACGTTTTCCCACGCTTCGCCAAATTTAGTCTCATCGATCCTTCCTGAAACCGCTACACAAAAAAGAACGCCGAAAAAAAGTTGTAATTTTGTCTTCTCTGCAGGTTCCCAAAAATTTACAGTGCAATAAAAAATATGTTTTTCAAATTTCTAGAAATCCAATAAATTTCATTATTTCGTCCATCGCAACTAAAAAATAATTTTTAGCGTGAGTAGATGTCACACGAAGTGACAACGGGATTTTTAATTTAAGACTACGTCTAACCAAGTTTTGGACTGTCCAAAACTTGAGAGTAAATAAAACTTAAAAATATGCGACAAGTTTCATAAATTTTCCCAATTTGACACGTTAAAAATTCTAGTTTACCACCAATTCAGTTTGAGTTTAACCTGCTTTTTTTCTCATGTGTGCTCTTCAGCTTTGCGATCAGACTACGGGCTTGACTGTGCTCCGCTCGGAATTTTAAAATATGATGAAATTTTTTTACCTTGCTATTTATTTGGTTGGAATCTCTGAGAAAAATAATAAAGATTCTCTCGTTCTGTCAATTATCCTCCTCGCAGCTTTTCTGCATATTTCCTAGTTTCGATACACTTTCGTATGCGATCCATGTACGATTTGATTCACAACAAAAATGAAAACTTCTTGACTGCACACGTAACGTTTTATGCATCCAATGCTTTCGATTCGTCAAAATCTCAATTTTCAAATCCACATTTGAATGTAAAAAAAATATATACAGTATACATATACAATATATATACACAGTATATACAGTATTTGCTTTACCGTCTGCTAAAAGGCGCAAGTCCACGTCGACGACATCGTCCGAAATGCGTTCTTCGAGCGATGACGTTTCCACGTGATTTCGTGGAAACACCACTGGTTCGTTTTCTGTTCGAAGAATGCATTGCGTGGGACTTTGTGATTTTTCATCCCTGTCCAGATCTTCATATTCGTCCCTCATGGCCAGCATGCCAACCATACTGGAAACATAATCTTCCGTCTGGATCCTCGACAAAAGAAGCTGCAGAAATCGGACTTTCCCACGAGATAAACCACCTGAAGGAATTCCAAATTTTATTCACGATATTAGGCACAATCGTTGAAAAAACAATAATCTTAGAAAAATCCCAGCACGATTTTCAAACATATGCTCTGACATGAGCCTTACTTTTGTCCACGCACACTCGAGGTTATTTGAAACGGATTCTTTTATAAATAATTAATAACGCTAACGCGTTCGGAATTTGAAAATATTTTCAAATACGTAATTCAGTCTGAAATAAGATTACCTAATTGTAATAAAGAATGAAATACGCACACGCAAAACATCTGTTCTGATGTTGAATGTTTCATTTGTGGACGATCTGTTTCGAAATGAATAGATTATATTTTGAACCAGCACAAATTCACGTACTACATTAAAGATTCACATTAATGAATAACAAATATAGATGTCATTTGATGAGATCGAATTATTTTCTACCGCCAGACAATTACGGTACTGCACTCTAAATTTTATGTCAACGTTGGGAAAAACGTATCGTGCACGATCATGATTACGGGATCCGATGATGCTTATTATTTTTATGATTATTTCACCTGGTGAACGGAAAGTGAGACAGAGCAATTCAGAGGCCAGACGAACGCAGTCGACACTTTCCGGCATGAGAAGCTCGAAGCTTTCTTCCAGCATCGCAATCACATCGTCAACAAAAGCCTCCATCGCAGGATCATCCAGCAGGCCAAAAATGAATTCCCGAAATTCCGACGCATTTTCCGCACATCCCATCAATTCGTCGATTGATTCAAAACACGCATCAGTCAGCTGCAAATGCCAGCTGAGGATGTTGATCGATGCTCGCAAGCAGCGACTAATGACCCTGCGAATGAAATTTTAAAATGGGTTAATGTGGTCGCAGTTATTTTACAAAATTTTGTTACGAACAATTTTTGGCGACTTCGGAAACGTTTGTTTTACTGAAAACATTTGTTGAGACGATATACGAGGGTTTTCCAACTTTTGATTTCGTTATTTATAAAGTAGTCACCTCAGAAAAAAAGCATAAGATTTAGCCCGTGTAATTCTGAGGTTCTGGGATTTTTACAGATTTTTATACAAAAATGCAGATTTATTGCATGTTAATATGCGAAAACTTTAGTTACTGAGAGAGTTCTCCACCCATGTCAGAAGCTGTTGAAACTTTTTCAGGCCAGACAAAAAATATAAAATTGTATGTTCTGTTTACCACAAACTTTCCTACATCTTTTTTCATTTTCACATTTTTCCGATGATTATTTTGTTTGCAACAAACGAAAAGCTAAGTCCATTTTGCATTTTTCCAAGAGAAAGGCCAATTTGTTTTCCATTTCCTCTTCAAAAACATCATCCAAGGCCTAGTTTCTTCCTGAACAAGTATTCCGTCATTTTCAAATCAAATCATAATTGCATGGCTCAATATCACTAATCATTCCTGTTAATCTACACGAGTCATACAGTTTCAAGAACGTCAAACGTAACTCACCCATCAGAAAATTTCATTTTCGACAGTTCCACGCCAGAAGAGAAGTTTTTCAGAATCGTGCCAAGACTGTGAAACGTTTTCACGTTTACATCCACGCGGAACGGAGTTTTTTTCGCCGATAAGCAAGGAAACTCAAAAACCGGAGAAGTGCACGCAATCGAGTGCGATAACCCAGCAGAAACTTGATGAATCCCAGCATCTCGCAGCGCCAAAATTTCAGTGGGCACCGGTGTAATCGACTCATCGTCTCCCAAAGAGCCACACTGACCCAATGCACTCTGTCCCCAAGCGTAGACCTGCGCGTAATTTGAAATATAGAAAAAAAAATCTTCGAATATCAATTTGAAAACAGATCAAGTAGCTACGAGTCATACCTCGATAAGCCCACCCATTTGTTCGTGAGGTTTGTGGAAGTTCAAAGGGGTTTGGTGGTTCATTAAGAAGGTTAAAATAATATTATAATTAAATATAATAAGACATAAAATTCTTTTTCTTCTAGAAAATAAACCAAAATAAACTTGGGTTGCGTAAAATACTTTATATCTGGCTAATATTCCCGCGTAGTAAATTAGGTCATATTTGTGTTTTTTTCAATTGGAGACTTTTTGAAAAAACTTGAATTTTGCTCATGGGCTATGGAAGACAAAATTTATTGGCAGGAGCATATTCAAGTTGTCAATAATTTTGGCGCATGGCGTTTCAACGGGGTTTCCCATTCTTTTATCATCAGGAAAGATTCGTTTTTTTTAAAGAAGAAATCGGCAGTTGGCGAAGGTAGCGACTTATCGGAGGGGGCGTCTTAAAAAAAAGTTTGAGTGTTGTTAATTGCGAAACAGGAGGGCATTAAAAATGTAACGATCCCCTTTAGATAACACAGAACTAGCTAGTCACCCTGTTCTCAGTAGAAACAGCCAAACAATGCAGGTCCCCGGCAGAAATGTCGTAAAATCGCAAATGCCTCATCAAGGGTTGAGGTTCACGCCAAATCGTTGGCCCGGGACTTCCCAAACACACCCCTGACCCACAGGCCAGAATTCGTCCATCATTCAACAGCACTAAAGTGGATCTCAGCGACAGGGCCAGTTTTTTCACCCGCATGCCCCGAAGAGCAGGTACGTCACGGGGGTAGGGAAACACGGGATCGCTTTCTCCGACCCCGAATTTGCCCCATTCGCCATCGCCGAACACCCAGACGACGTTCTTGTCGGCCGACACGGCAAAAGTGTGAGTATTGCCGCAATATACTTGGCCTACAACTTGCTGTAGGTCTTTGACGAGGGTCGGAAAAGACCGCGTATGCGTGTCCCGTAATCCTTAAAAAAAAGAGAATAGTTCATAAATTCAAAATTCATCACACTTGAAATTTTCATAGACTGCATTTATTTTTCGTTCAATGAAGAGGCAGACTACATTGATGAAAAAAAAACAATTCGGGCATTTATTTCATCAAAACATCGGACTCAAGAGTCAGTCAACAGCATAAAATAAAGAATTGATGAAAACATGAAACTCACCTAATCTTCCGGATTCTCCGTGACCCCAAGTGTACAAATCATTTTCAATCGTCACACAAGCAGAGTGACAATGACCAGCTGAAATATCCGCAACGATTTTTCCTCTGAGTCCTTCGATCGGTCTCGGTGTTTTCAATTTAGTAAAATGCCCGTGTCCAAGTTTTCCGAAATCACCTGGAAATTTTCCTCTCGTAAATTAGACAAAGAATTATGAAAATTTTATTGGTTTTCCACAAGTAGAGTACCGTATTAAGAACACTCGAAAACAAATTGAATGGACCAACGAAAAGATCTTTAGATTAGCAAGATCTTGGATGACTGAAGAGACCTCGTAAATATTTCTGGTCATAATTCAAAATTCTAAAAAATAAAGCACACGAGAACCAAAATTAATTTTGAAAGGAATTTTTAGGTTGGTCGGAGGATTCAGTCATTTTCATTCAGTCACTTGGAAATGTCTCGTCCAGTGGAAAGTCAGAACAAAGCAATAAAGACTAAAATTTCTTGACCATCCTTTCGAAGAAAAACTTACCATCACCCCAAGAAAATATCATTCCTGAACAAGTGATCAGCAAGTAATGCCCGTCCGTGCTTTTGGATGCCGAAATTTTTACAACGCGATTCATGTTCAGTTTCACAGAAGAAAATGAGCTGGATAACATAGATTTCCAAGGTTCCGAGCCGTTGAAAGGAGCCATTCCTTTTCCGTAGGCGTTTGCGGATCCATCTTTGTCAATCGCGAACGTACAATACGCTCCTGCTTCAACCTGAGAAATCATAAGAATCGTGAAAAGAGTGAGATTACCGTATTTCCTATTCGACACCAAAACTTTGTTTTCCGAAATTTTCGACCAGGGATAGACAGAATGCTACGAAGACCAGAGCGACTATCTCAACTTAACTATCAAGGTTTACAGGACACCTCATAAATATGCAGGGGATGGTTCATGCGTTTTTGCCAGTTACTTGAAATAAGAGGAGTTTAACACATTTTTCGGAATAGAAATTGAAAAGGTATATGATTGATTCGATGAAAGTTTTATCGTAGAAAATAAATTCTTTGGCACAAAAAAAACATTAAGACATATCTATGACTTCTTTTTGGAAATGTCACACAGAGCTTTTTGCATTTCACTCAAAAAATGGGTGAAGGGCAACAGTGACTTCGCAGCCGCCACATTCTTAGCCAGGTGGCGGCTTTGAAGGAGGCAGTTGATGAAAATGGTGGAATCAATAAACAATTCATGGCGGCAACCCTTAGAATTGATGTCATGTCCATTTTCTAGAATTCTGACGGAGAAGCTGGGCTACGAAAAAAAAAAATCTGCCAGATCTTCGCCTCATATTTTGCGATAAACGCAAAAACTCGCCACAAAAAAAACGTGTCAAACAGGCCTGCATTATTTTCTTGTGCAGAACGTTTTTCTAATAATTTTTTTCAGTTCAATCGCACGCCGTTTCCATTTTCAATTCAAAGAACATTCGTTAGACCCCTCGTGATTGAAAAAAAATTTTGATTGAGAAAGAGACTTTTCTTGCATTATCTGAGTTGACTTACACTCAGTACTCTTCAAAGACTTTTCAGCTGACTTCAACTGTTCTAAACTCGTGCATCGATTATAATCAGAATAATATATCGAAAATATGCGATGATGAAAACTGGCACATGAACCTCGGTGAATTGGTCATGGTATCTACTTGAAATTATTATTATTATTCTAACCGTGGTAACGTGGGAAAGCATGTCAAGTTTCCGAGGGGTCGGCGTTTTCTCCGCGAAACCAGAGGTCAGCTGCAAAGAACCATTACTTCCCCAGCCATAAGCCCCTGAACTCGGCTCTTGTTCGCCAATCAAATCAGAAGTTGAAACAAACGGCACACAGCCATCTGAACACCCGAAGTCTTGAGGTACTTGACGAACACTACGAGGCAGTATCAAACCCAGCTGTCGCTTGCAGAAATGTTCTATCATCACGTTCGTCTGAAAAATAAACACACACACGAATATATACAAAATCAAATTATATATTGCACATAGTTCCTCAAGAGATTATACGACTAGCCTCGGAAATAATTTCCTGAGTAAAAATATGATCGATGACAGAGTTAGATTATCATATTGAAATGTTTTCTGAAAAAAAGATTACTGTATGTTGATTTCACACGATGAATAAAAAAACAAAATTCGTCCAGTCTGTTTACCAGTTCGAGAAGTGCCAATCCCGCTTGCCACAGTGGCAAGTTCTCGTCGGAATCCGAAATCGAATGTATCCTCTCGCTAAACTTGCGCCAAAAACGGGCTTTCGGTTCCTGCAAAAACATGGGAGCATCATAAATATAATTCGAAGGTTTTCCCCCTGGGACTCCGCTATTTCCTAGTAATAAGGAAATAAACACCACTACGCGATTTGCGCGACAATAAACCCACAAAAAACGGGAATCTATAGTGAACTTCATGAATATATGATTATTAAATTCCATTTGAGGGAAGGTGGAACAATGTGGAATAAGTAAAAAAAAAATTCTGGCATCATCCAGGCAAGTGTTAGTTTTTCCAGGGATAAAATAATTAATAAAAAAATATTTCCCACACTAAAACTGCGTGAGGAAATCGACAACATACTCAGAAAAATTATTCTGATCTCCTGCTTAAATTGCAAATACAGTAAGTTTAAAATGATTCACACTGAAATTATTCCAGATAGGACCAAAAGTTTCCCCGGTTCTTATTTACGGGATGATACACGAATTTTTTTCAACACTTTTTCACTGTTTCACGTCCCGTTCCCGGAAATTTCATGATCATTATACACTCACTGCTTCAAATTTGCACTTTGGTGCGATCTCACTGAGCACAAATAATCTTCTACGATTACTTACTTACCAACATAACTTTCTGCATCTTATCGGCAGCCCATTTAAAGCTCTCCAAAGGGATCAAAATACTTCGATCCGCATGCAAGGCCATAACAACGAATTCCAAGACATGTCTCAACTGGCCACGTTGCACACATAGCAAAAACGCCGCTTCAGCGGCTAAACCAATTCCTTAAAGAAAGGAAATAACGTTCATAAAAATCACACACAAAATTTCTTTCTTCATGAAAGACACTCACTTTTCAGGATGATAGGATTCTCTGAAGGTTCATAACTGGAGATCAAACTCCTTAGGAATACGAATAGCTTGTCCAATGCACTCGACGCAATCTCAGAGCCTGAGGGATGTATTGGTCCACACGTCACACCAATGGTTTTTTCGTTGAGCTGAAGCATCGGGGCCGTTTTAAGGGCATCGATGGCTTTAATCAGCATCGAATTCGCAGCTTCAACTCCTGGCAAACGATAAAGCATTTAACTGCCAATTTTTGAATAGAACTAACTACAGAGCGTACGCGCCCAAGTGAGCCCCAAAGACAACTGAACGTCAGAAAACTGAGCCATGGACAGTTGACTTTGTTTTGTTTTCTTTTTTCAAGAGTGGGTAACAAATCCAATGTTTCACGCTTTCTTAATCCTTGAAGACAATAATCCTCTTGGGAATAACACAAAACTGTAAAAGGATGCTGGGGAAATCCCGTGGAAGAGGAAATCTCGCGGCTCGGAATTTCCTAGGTGCAAAATTTTCATGGGTTACGAAAATCCCGCGGATTACAAAATTTTGAAAATGTGTCTTTGTCTTTCCTTCCAACCGTTTTGAAAGTTTAGGATAACCTCACTCAAAAGAAAGGTCAAGAGAAAGTCTGAGAAATATGTAGCCTTCACTTGGAGCTTTGATCCCTGCATTTGCTTTGAATATAAACTGCAAAAAATTTTCATACATTTTCACAGTTCAACTTTACCTCTTGAAGGGAGAAAACAGGTGTCAATTTGCTTAAACTCCAAGATTATTAGTGACGCATGCATTCCGTACATTGCATTGCATTCAGTTGGAAGGCAAGTTTTAAACATGAATACCGTACTTAAATTCAAGTTGTTTTTAATGAATAAATTCAAGCAGCGGGATTTTCGTTCCTTCGCGATTTTGGTACCTATCGAGATTTTTGCAGGGTTTTCTCATCGAGCTGCTGAAACACAGAGGATTCACAGTGTTCATACATTTCTCCTAACAAAATTGACACGTCAAGATCAATAAAATAATCAAAATTATTAACCTGTGATCTTGTCGGCGACTGCTCCACTTTTGTATATGGAGTCATGAAGAGCCCAGTTTTCCGTCAAAGTTTCAAAAGTTAGTTCCAAGATGAACTCTAAAGCATGTTCGAAGAAATTCGACTGGGTTCTAAAGCTGGAGTTTCGCGCAGCTGCGACTGAGCTCGGCGAAGATGACTTGTTCTGCCTCTGCTTCCAGTCAGCCTGTATGAAGACATAAAAGAAGCATTGTACAGTACTGTAATACCATTCTTGTAAATCTCATTCGTCTGATTATTTCTGGGACGAAAATGTGACTTTCGAGAGAAGAATTTTGCAAAAAACTTCTTCAAATATTCAAATTTTCATCTAAAATAAGTGAGGTCTCTTGACACATTTTTATGCAAAGCACCACCGCAAATTTTCAGGGCATGTTGTTCATCTCATTCGTCTGATAATTTTTGATATGAAGATCGAACTTCCGAATAGAGGATTCTGCAACAGCTTCTTCAAAATAACATTTGCAAATTTTTGAATTTTCATCGAAAGTACGTGAGGTCTGTGAACAAATTTTTTTTATCTATGCAAACCACCAGCGCTAATTTTCAGGGCATGCGGCTCTGTACGAACCAGGTTACGTCAGTTCTATTTCTAAATGCAAAATTACAGAAATTGGCGAAAACCTACATTCAGGAACGAACACTGATTTCAGAGCGCTAGTACTAGCCTCAATCTCTCACGTGTTCAGCAAAAGTTCAATTCAGATGCCCATTTAAAATAAAGTAGCATTCCTGTAATACAATACAGGGATGTGCTTAAATGCCGAAAATACTCACCACTGCACTGGTAAAGGAGCCATTGCTGACTGTTTCCTGAAATACGGAGACGTTTTTCAGGCGTTCGTACGCAAGTCTGTACTCCGACGTGGATTCAAAAGAAAGCTGTATGAGTTTAGCTCCGTTCGAAAGAAGCCATGACAAAACGCGATCTTCGGTTTTCGAACTGACAACTTCCGAGTCGCCGATCGGAAGCTGCTCGCCGATGACGACGAAGTCCGCCGACGAAGTCTCCCGTTTACTCGAAGTCTGGAAGAAAAACGGAATGAAGAAATACACACCAATAACTGATTCGTTAATGATGAAAAAGTAGAAGATACGTTTTGTTGGTCTTGAGGTTTTTCCAACAATATGGTTTTGAAATGAATGCAATTTCTGGATTCCACAGATTGATAGCTTCTCATCACTAGTTTTCCCTTACGAGGTTTCAATATGGAGATAATAAGAGTTGATTTCCAAAACTACTGGGAGAAATTCAGCGCCGTCCGGTTTACACCCGACACTTAATTTACACTACTACATTTTTGATGTGACAGTTCGTCCAAGAGCTATCAAGTGTAACAAAAATAATTGAAGAATCATTTTCGTGACAATTCCATAGAGTCGAAAACTACGAAAAAAAACATTTGTATTCTGGTTTTGCAGTTCTCGAGTTGATATTTCGATTATCGCTTGCAAAATTGCCGGAGTTTTACCGCGACTAAAGAAGTTCTTACAAACGAAAAAAGGTTTGTTTTTAATCTTCAATTAATCGGACAATAATTTTGAGGATACTGGCCCCAGGAACTTGGATAATCAAAGTAATGCATTCCATTCCAAGGCACTGACAAAATTCGTGAACATTCCTTTTCTTAGCCTGAAACTTAGATACATTAAATAAATGAATATAACTCACTCTTGGAATGCTCGGCATCCTTTCATCGCATCGCGAGCCTTCACCAGCGGCTGAGGACGCCATCGGATCACGCACACATTTTCGGGATTAGCCGCACAATAAGCGACCTTTCCTATCGAACACTTTGCACAGTTCCTCCACGAATCATCACTGCTCAGAATAAACGTACATATTTGGACACAACATCGATTAGGCCAAAATTAGAATAGAGATCGAAAAAACAGTCGAGACCTGGCTTCGGCACCAGAGAAATTTGAGAAGGAGGGATGCATTTCTCGTTATCAGACAGTAACCGCCCACTTCACGGCACAAAGCTTCAGAACACGCATCAACGCGTAACACAGTTCCCATATTTCTCTTACATCTGCTTGTGTAGCTCCAGGTGCTTACAAGAAAAATCAGCAAGTTTCCGGTAGTGAACAAACATTTTCGTGATCCGAAGGTTGATAATTATCCATGAAACGTGTGTCTGGTCTAATGCACTCAGAATTTCTCCGACGATTCTTCGGTGAATACACGTGAATTTCGTTCGCACATATACATCCGTCGACTGCCCAACTACCGTCCAAAAGGATCTTCACAACGGATAGCGAGGAGGATAGAGCACGGCACGATGCGATCAAAATGTTCACTCATTCGTGAGTCTCAATTTTAATTATTTCGACATCAGGCTAAAAAAAGCAATCACAACTTTTCAATAATTATCGATTCACGTTGAAGTGCTACTGTTCGGCGTCCATGTGAAGAACGTTACGGGCAGAACCAGAGACGAAAACGCCAAGTATCTTCATGAAAACCTCATGCGGAACTACGATAAGAATATAATTCCCGTCCAACAGCTGAATACTCCCCTGAAAGTAGACTTCACAACTCTGCTTATATCTGCCGACGTCGTGAGTACCTACTTTTGTCAATCTTTAAATTCATGCACACCTGAACAAGGACATAGAGTGATACAACGTTCAATGTCTACAGATCTTTTGATTAGCTAGACTCCAAACTGAACCACACTCCTGGCGATTTCAGCCAATTACAGAGGCTGAACAATTGAATAGATGAACTTCTTAAATTATGAACCCAGACAAGGCCTTGGTTAAGCACGAAATCCGAACTTCCACATGTTTCGCGCAATCCCACTTACAGAAGCGACGTCTGATAAGCACGTGTTGACTCTCGTGTTATCGTACCAAAGTCACGGACTCGTACCGAACGATACACTTGTGCAGTGCTGTGTGTGTTATGATTGTACTGCGGTCATAAGGTTCAGGTTAGCTGACTTTTACAATGATGTACGGTATTTTTTAGCAATGCACATGTAAGAACCGAAACACTCATTTAATGTAAAGAAGTTCGAAATGGTAATCTGGTACTTCTTTGCTTCAGGATTTTGATGCAGCGGCGATGCAGACCTCTTATTGGGTTTTAGCGGTTAGTTTATTGAACCATCCTTAAATTTTTTCAAAATTCTCCAAAACTTATATTACTGTGTACATACAATCCTATGTACAGATCTGGACTGATTTCCGCCTCAAATGGAATCCGGATGAATATGATGGGATAAACTCGACTCATTTCAGGGTTGATGAGGTGTGGGTTCCAGATGTTGTTGGACTGAATGAGTGAGTAAAAATCTTTTCAATACTGATGATGTGCGCTGACAATATGTTAACTGGATATATTGATGACCTCTCTGTTTTTTTTTTAGAGTGCAGGCAGTGGGGCAACCACACAAATCACACATGGATCTGAATCATAACTGGTTTGTCCGAATCACACCAGAGGGCGGATGTCATCTAATGATGCCCTTTACAGCACCATACTCCTGCATCACATACAACTTTAATAAATGGCCCAAAGATTCCTTTAGTTGCTTTCAGCTTTTTGGCTCATGGGCATATTCCCAGAGTTACTTGGACCTTGGCATCCTTGGACACCCTAATCTTAATGTCACTGATGTGGTGAGAGCAATTATCTTAGTCATATGTATACACGTTTCAGCTTTACAAAATTGATGTAACCTGTGTTATTAATTTATCTTACAGAAAGTTGAGGCATCCTTGATAAATGGCCAAAACTCTCCTTGGTTGGTTGATGAAAATGTGAATATTGACAAGCTGAGCTACAAAATACCAACATATACTTTCACTGAAGACATCTACTTTGTCTTTTTGCAATACAAGTATGAATTGACAAGGAATTGGCAACAGTCTTCATACTCCTCAACATTGTTCACCCCCATCTTTGGTAAACAACTTTTTTTCTACAATATATTAGAAAAATGAATAATAATTTTTGCAGCACAAAACTAAATTAATTTTAACATTGATCAACTCTGAATTTGTAATCAACAGATGTATGCTTCTCAAAAGGAAATTTGGTTTTATCATGGTGCTGATTCTAATTTAAAAATATCAAGACAAATTCTTGATCACCCAAGTGTTGGGCCTGGAATTTTTCTAACTGAAGTTTGGCGTTATATAGCTCTTTTTTTTCTACTTGCAGTATGCATAGTGTTTGGCTGGATGAATTTCTTCTGCTTGGAGCTTTATGGATTCATGGGGAGATTTTTGATTCTCATCTGCATGTTGATCAATTTCATGATTTCTAATGCTGAACAAGGAAACCTTGATGTTGGTGACAATGAACCAGCCATCTGTAAGTTACAAATAAAATATGGTTACCTGCGAAAAAATATAATCTGATCATATCATCCAGTGAAAATCTTGTTGGCAAACACACTGTTGACAGCCATTCAACTATGCCTGGCTTATGCTTTCCTCTGGATCAGGAATGCGCTTCCTGATGATGAAGTGGTTGCTGACAACCTTGGCAGCACTTGGCTGAAGGTGGTGATCATCCTTGCAAATCCTCTTGTAAGTGATTTTACCTCCAGTATAAGCCTGACACAATTAAATTGAAATTTCTCTTCTATATAAATACACCAGGGCTCTTTGTTGGAGGAAGGAGATGAGCAGGCCTTGAGCAGCTTCTCTACAAATGAGTCTGATGCTGGGATCATTGAAGCTGCTGCAGCCCCACAGCTGACTAATACTCACCAGATTCGGATGAAAGAAAAGCACTCTATGGCTGCAAAGGCATTTCTTCATACATCATCTGGGCTGCTGATGGTTACTTACATAGCAGTGGTTTCCACACTGTGGCCTTATGATTGAAAAAGTATCAATTAATCCTGGCTAATTTTATAAATGTGGGTCAGGTATTTTGTTGGCTCTTTGAATAACTTAGCTTAATAGTGTCCAAATTTTTTTTACAAAAACTTCCATCACACAGGGACCCCGTGAATGATTTTAAAAAATGTTTTATGAGTTAATGGCAACAAAGTCGGATTTTTTTAATGAAATCAAAGATGAATTTCTTAAAATCGACTTTTTTCTTGGCAATAAGAGAATTTATTCAAGGGCTATTATGTAATTTCCAAGATAATTGGATGCACTTCCTCTTGAATATTATTTGCATCACTGCTCTGAGTATATTATGGAATGATTTAAAAAATGGCTTCCCTCATTCTACAGGCAGGTGAAACCTTGCTGGGAGCAAAATGTAACTAATGTCAAATAAGGGAAATTATACAAAATTACTTCATCAAGTTTTAAACCAATTCTCATAGCATTTTGAGTCCATAATATTTCTGCTAAAATCCATGAAACATTTCTTCTCCATCAACAATTAATTTATGGCAACATGGTTTAGCCCAGTTACATTTGTTTCAAGACAAATTTCAACTTGCAGCATGATCATTATATGGTATGAATATCATTTGAATTGCATTTCATTTGATCCATTCTGAGATGATGGGTATCTTCATTATTATTGCAGAAATACATGATGTTCAAAAAGATAACCAAAATTATGAAGAATAAATGCTTATTTACTCTCATGATGAAAATGTGTGTTGCTTTTACTGAAATAATAAGCATATAATGTATATTCCATGTTACTGTTAACATTGAAACATGTTCTTTACAGAGTGACTGACCTTTGATGTTAATGAAGAAAATGAAAGTGCTATTACACAGGCAGACTCTCTACAATAATCTTGTTCACAGACTTTTCTTCAGCATAAAATTGTCTTTTGGTCCTGTACAGGGATTCTGTTTACAACAAAATTCTCCCTACAATTATTTTTCCATGGTGCCCTGCTCTTTTTGCAGAGTCCTGCTATACAGTATATTGTGTGGGGATTTGCGCTAATAAATTCTAATAGCTTAAATGAATGAATGAATGAATGAACAGAACACTTTATTTGCCGCTTTTCAGCATTCAGCGTAATAGCTTAAATAGCCTTGGCCATTTTCTTCTTGTAAATGGGTATTTTGTATTTATTGATTGATGAAAAACTTGATAAGGTTGAATAATAATGCATGAGAGGTGCTGAGAAAATCAAGAGAAAAGAATTGATTGTGTTAGCAAGATTATTTCAGCAGGTTTAGTTGTTTGTTAAGTGGCAAAACAAGGAGTTTCTCATTTATTCTAATTATCTTCAATTGTTCATTGTATTCTTTGTTTTGGTTGCATTTTGGACCTGACATTTATAAAAGCTGAAACTCTGAAATTTAGAAATTGTCACACTTTGGAACCAGGAATAAAAAGAAATCTGCGAAAATAAGTTTTGTTTTTGTGAAAAATAAACCCAAGTCAAATAGATTCTGTCAAGAACATTTTTCTTTCTCCCGCTCTTCTGTATCAACGAAACCAACCGTCAAAAAGTTTTTTACAAACGGTATCCTCTTGTACAATAACGTCTCACGCAGCAGACACGTCATTCAAGCCAAATGAAAAAAACAAAACAAATGCAACAAATAAACGGTCGATCGAACAAGACTCGCAACAACACCCAGCATTGCTCTTTTCTCCTAACAAAAAAAAAAAAAAAACAGAAGAAAGAAACCCCACTAATAATGTCGTCAGCAGTGGGTGTTTTTTCATCAGGAAAAAGTTTAAAGAAAAGCGAGAGCCACAGAAGCGCACACCTTATTGATATTAAATAATACATCCGTCAAAATAAAAACCGAAATCAAAATCACCCTCCTGTTTGTTTGACA